CTGCCTCTTTCATCGACCTCCCTGAGCTACTGCATAGCTCATCCCAAATACGGTCAACTGCTTTAACTGCGGTTGATGCGTCAAGCAGACCCCGGGAGATGAGCAATAGCTTCAGAGCACCATGCCGGTGAAAGGAGCCCATGGCTTGGGCCTGGAAGAACAACGTAGGCTCCAACCAGAGCCCGCTCACTCGCTCTCTATGAGCTTCCAATACCGCTGAACACTGTCCCCGTAGCGCCAACAAAATCAGACATAACCCTAGCACGCAATACAAAGAAAGACTTAATTACCGGCGTCGTGAGATATCCGTCCCCGCGTCCGAAGAAATGCAATCACGAAAGAGAAAAAGGAAAAAGAAAAATCGAAGAAAAAGTATTCAATAAAAGCGTTAAGAGGAAAGCCTCCATGCAAAGAACCGCTGCAAGGGCTCGGATGTACACGGGAACGGGGTATTCAGGCGTCAAAGGATGAGATGTGGCAATAGGTGTACCACTCAAACTGCGGGAAAATGAGAATCAACTCAGGAATGCAGCTAGTATGCCTTGCGGCCTCCGAGGTTGCCAGGCTTCTCATCCGTGTCAATGTGCCAGACGACATAGTTCGGAAGACCGTACACCTGGTATCCAGCACGCTTGGCCATGCGGGCGAATCCCTCAGTTTCAGCCTGGTTCTCGAAAGCGTAGGCCGGGAAGTTGATGCCAGTCCGGTGTACATCAGCCTTCACGAGGATGTTGACACCGCCAATACCGTCGAGCTCAACTTCCTCATCCTTGTTCTTTCTCCAGTCACCCATGCCAACCAGGTAAGTGCGACCAGTGTCGTACTCCTTGTAGCCTTCAGCCAGAACAGTATCCGGGTCGAGAGTCTGCCGAAGCCGGCGTCCCTTGTCCGATTCGATCCACGAGTTGTAGTCAACTGCAAGAATTAGCAAAGCGAGAATTGTGAAGGGAAGTTTGTGTACATACATCGACCTTCGACATCAACACCATCCCGGTAGCGATGGAACCAGATGTCTGCGACAGGGTTAGCACCTTAAAACGTGGTATTCATAGAGGTGTTGCAACGTACTTGGAACCAGAATATCCCTGTCGTGAGCAATGAAATCTTCAATGATGCTATCAGGGCTGTCGAAGATGTCAACATCTCTCCAGTAGACCCAAGAGTGATCAGGTTTGAGAGCCGAATAGAGCAGGTAGTTGCGGGCGCGACCGATAGCCTTGCGGCGCGGGCCTTGAGCAGCAAAAGAGTGCCTGTCCTCGACGTTCATCTCGACATCAGCCCCAAAGTCCTTCTGCACAATTGTCGCGCTACGGAAAGCAATCTTCTCATCCACCTGGTCCTGGATCCGGGACAGCTCGGCGGTAAGAACAGCCATGGTGTCGTCACTGCAATCACCAACGAGGAAGGCCAGGTCAATGAGGTTGTGAGGGTACGTCAGCTTGTAGAGGAGATCGAAGTAGTTGACCAGATGTTCGGATGCGTCTCTCAGAGGGGTGAGGATGAGCACCCGCTCAGAATTCGAGATGGCCTGGGAGGTAGACTTGATGGGGTTGAGGTCGACGGTCTTGATGCTCGAGGAGTTCACTTCGTAGGCAGCGTGATGGTTGAAGACGACAGGGGTCTGTGTGTGCGCGGTCCACTCGACCATTTCGTTGATGCTCATCTCCATCGGCGATTTTGAAGGGCCATAGCAGTAGAAGCTACATGCAGCCGTTAGCGTTTCCTGGTCGCGTGCCTGCAAGTCGTTGCCAGGGACCGGGTGTCGCGGGCAGCCCTGTCAACGTCGATTCAGGTACTCACCTCTGCATCTCCGACGCTGACTTGCTAATGCCACGCCATAGTAGGACTACAAGACCAGTGATGGCCAATGAGACCAGAAAACGGGTCCGTGTGACCAGGAACAGAACAGCCCGCCATGGAGGCAGCCGTGCTTTGGCAGACTTCCACGTTACACCACCCTTGGGGAGCAACATCTTCGCGACGGGGGGGGAGAAAAAGGGGAAATAAGATTATGAGTTGGCCAGGAAAGCGAGCAGAATGGTCTCGCTTCTCGTAATCAGAAACCGTCGACGCCTACAGCTAGGCGACGATTTCTGGGGATGGGGATGTCTATCGCTGGGACACCAGAGTCCAGGGAGATCGATCAATCTGTCGTGGAGCGGACAACACGATGCAGAACGGGCGGCGGAAGAGACGGACCGTCCGGGGAAGGGAAAAGGAGCGGGTTTCGACGCGATGCAGATACTGGCAGGGACGATCACACAAAATCGAGACTGGAATCTGACGGATCGAAGGCGTCGACAGGGGAGGTCAGAGTTGATGATGCGATATGGAGAAGGGGGGGAAGCCAGCGATCGCCCGGGGCAGGAAAAAGGGTAGGGAAAAGGCTGGCTGCGGGAGCGTTGGTGCGGCACCGGAGGGCCCCAGCAAAGAAGGGAGTAGGTTTCAAACGAATGTGAGAAGCAGACGATGAACGATCAGGACACAAAGTGATCCGACCAGTTCTCAGTCAAGCGACACAGAGAGAAGTCCAGGGGAGGATAAGATAAATGGAATGGTCGTCGACAGAAGAGAAGTTCCAGGTTGACAGGGAAGATTCGACCCGCCGAAGTTCCAGCCAGACTCAAAGTCCAGTTGGCCGCTTCGGGATTGGCCCGCCGCTTTTAATTTTTCTTTTTTATTTATAGCCGCGGGTGACTAAGGAGACCCTTAATCAGCTGCATAACCCTCATCCACGGCATAACTCAACGACCGAATTGCACTATGTATCACTACTAACAAATCTACTCGACCCTCCCCAAAGGTCTACTACCTCATGCTTGAAGGAGTTACCCACTACTCTGTACCCCATTTGAGTTTACTTTTTTCTTTCTTTATAGACAAGAATTTTTTTTCATGGTCATCTCGCTCTATGCTGATAGTTACAAAAAATCACCCCATGGGAACCGAACCCTGAACAATAAGCAGAAGACATCACAAAAGAAATAGATACCGAAATCAGTCGTGTATGTATAGTTAAGCGGAAAACGAAATTTCAACCCGGTAAAACTGTCGCCACAATGCTCCAGATCCTGGCCAGTGAACAAGATAATTATAGCCTTCCCCAATATGAACACGGAAGAAAGATTGTACAGACACCAAATAAAACCAACCGTCGTAAATGCCTAACAAACGCTCTTTGCCTTTTCCCTTCTTTCCTTCCTCTCAAATGATGTACACATTGCGCCTTTTCCGGGTTCGATAGGAGAAATGCGCAGGAAAGCTTGAGTCCAGTGTGGACTCTATATCAGACGGTAAACAGATCACGGTGCAGGAGACATCACTTGTCCCAAGTATATGTCGATGACGAACGCTCTCGCTATGCCAGAAATCACAGTTTAAATGAGATGAAAAACAAACTTGGGCTGCGCAACAGCCGCTCTAGGAATGGACTCAAGGAGAATCATGACAAGGTTCCCTCAGTGATCGTGAAGGAGGCAGATGCACCAATTCATGGCGACGGGATGATGGATTGACGCCGTGATACAGGCACTGAGTGAGGTCCGTGTGCGAACACAGGCGAAGAGGACCGTGTGATAGAAGGAGTGTGGGTAAGGTATGTATGTCCGAAAGTGAAAGCTGGCGCTGTGGGATGGGACTCAAGCCGAGAGGATTCAGGGCTGCTGGCGGCAATCTCGTCGCAAAATACCCGCAACCCGGGGAGCATGTTACGTGGCTTGGCCTCGGCGTGATGAATGATCGGCTGAGAAGTCAGGGGCTCGCTCTTGGGCGATCGGAACATGTGCTCGTATGACTTCAGCTGAAGCTCGAGCGCTTGGTTGCGCTCCTCCAACATCTGGTTCTCTTGCTTCAGACTTTTGATCTGCTGCTGGGCAGTCTGGTTCTGCTGCTGAAGACTGGATACCAACTGTTGCAACTGCATGCAGCGGATCTGGGGCTCCAGTTTCTCGGACAGTTGACGAGGCATTTCATTCTCCTGGCGGATCAAGTGGATGATGATCAGGAGCATGAAGTCGATGAGAAAGATGGCAGCCTGAACAATATGCTCCTTGGACTCTGGTAGGCTCTTGGATGGGTTCCAGCCGGCGCGCTCCAAGAAGAAATCATGGATGCGGCTGTCCAGCTCACGATGCAGCTGGCTGAGGTTCTTCCGTCGGTTTCCCTCTGCAATTCTGTGCTTTTCTCTCTGGTCGTCTGAATCCGCAGAGACCATGCTTTCCTTGCGCTTCCGCCCGCAGAGCTGCTGCAACGGCGGCTTGCGGTTAATGTGCTTGGGGGCGATGAGGTTCAGGAGTTCTGCAGGGGAAAGCTCTTGCGGCCAGTCAAAGGTCTTTTGAGACTGAACGGACTCTGGCCAGGAACTGTCGGCGGAGGTTGCTGGTGATGGGGGAGTCACAATGTGTTCCGCTTCAGGCCACGGCGACCTAACGGGAAAAGCGTCCTGGGAGCTTGGAGAGCTGGTGGCACCGATGTTGGTTGTGAACGGGTCAAAGGGGCCCCGGGGCAAGGGCTCCACGCGGGGGAGCGGGGGCAAGCGGCGGTCCTCGCTCATGTCTGCCGTGCTGGATGCACTGGAGAGAGAACGCACACTGTGGGGGAGCCTGTCACGTCAGATGCTGCATCTGTCGGTAAGGCTCAAAGACAACTTACGGGAGAGAACAACGGCGAGAGATGTCGTCAGCCATGGTGTTCATGTCTTCAAACATCATGGTGCTGATGGCTTCTTGCTGCAGGTAAGATGAAAGACGGGGGGCGCTGCAGCTAGAGAGCTGTATGTCTGAGGTTTGTCTGTATGCACTGCAGGCAAGAGGGGAAATGTCTCTGATATGTATGTCTGCACCGGCGCGGGATGACTTAGGCGTGAAGTAAACAAACCACACAGCCAAGAAGTATATAGAATAAGCTTCAAGGGGGAGGAGCAATAATAAGGACCACAAGGGATGATGATAGTAAATGAGAGTTCAGTGGCAACAATGACGCTGATACAATCAAGGGGGGGAGGGAGGAAGAGGATGAGGGGGGTTTCTAAGGATAGAAGTAAAACAAGAGGAAACAATCAGGTTAATCCACGAGGAGCAGCTGAGATATGATGATGAAGAACACAATGCTTCCCACAGAGCAAGACGGGAGGATCCCGCTGCATGTTTTATATGTTGGAAGCCGCAGGCGAGAACGAGGAGAGGGGAAGGAGGAGGCAATGGATGAGGAAGTCGACGAAGGAGGGAGTGGGGAAAGACCAGAAAGAGCAGCAAAAGGACGCCATTGTGGTGGCGCGCTCAGACGTGCAGTTTGAGCTGGCAATGAACTGCATCGGAAGAGGAATGCGAAGGGTTGAGAGGTTGCGAATAGTACGAAAACAGTATGAAAGAGTGTGTGAAAGAGGGAGAGAGGGAGAGAGAGAGAGAGCATTCGGGATGTATCACCAAGTGCTTTCTTGGGATCCTCCCCAGAAGCTAAACGGATTAGCTCGATCTGCGACTGCCTCAACAAGGAAATGGAGCATCGACGATGACATACAGATAGATGGTTTGATGGTGGTGGAGTCGTTGGATTCTCCATTTTTTTTTTCTTTTTCTTTTTTTTTTAACTTGTTTTTATTTTTATTTTTATTTTTCATATTTTTATTTTACTTTATCTTAATTATTATTATTTCTTGTCTTCTTGGGATACTATTCCTTGTGTCTACTACTACTTTCCTGCTTCCCCTACAGATTATCTGCAGCCTCCATCTCCATCTGGACCTTCTCCTTCTGCGCCGCTTCCTCTTCTGGTCATCGCCTCCACTGCTTCATCATCCTTCTTCCCTCCACCCCCCTCATCCTCCTTCTCCTGCTGCTTCCCTTGCTCCCTCACCCCCCATGAGGACATGCGGGGATGCATGAACAAGCTTCCGGCAGAGTTCGACAGCCCATCAACTAGTACTTTTTATTTTCACTTTCCATAGTACTCCCTCTAACAGAATGGGACATTGCTCTATCAGAAATGGGCACAGACGCGAGGCAAAGCACCGGATCGACGAATCAACGTGCCATGATCCCGATGAACAAGAAGGAGAGTCGGATTGGGGATCGCAGACCCTTGATTTGTCACCGCTGCAGCGGTTTTCGATCTACACGGGGCGAAGAAAGGTATCGACTCCCCTTGCATCGCGGTCATCAATAGTCTGTTCGGGCCAATGGCCATGGTCCGTCCACCCAGTGTCCACTTCGGATCCTGGACCCAGGCGGCGATGCATCCGCGAAACCCATAGCGTCGAGGCATAAAACGTTCCCGTCGTTGGGACAAGCGCGGACTGGTGGCTGTAACAGGTGTGGGAACTAGCTCTGCGGCGCTTATCCGTCTGGCCAGTTCGAACACAGGCCCAATTCCGAACCGGACAAGGTGCTGAAGCCATGGAGAAGCAAATTTAAACGTCAAATTATAGGGAACAGATCGGATCAGCCATCCGGACCACCCATTTGGAGGGTATCAAAAGTCGCCTCGATCGCCTCGATCTTCCCAAACTCAGTGCCACTATAGACTACACACCCCCCTCCGTAAATACTACTATGTATAGCACATGGTCTGCACGGGATCGAGGGCAAAAGTGAGGCCCACGGGAGCAGTCCCGGCCCGATCTTGTGTCTTTCTCGTCTTGACCTGCGGCCCATATAAGGGCACTCGGCTAGGAAAAGCAAAAGTACCAATAAAGGGTCATGAACGCCCATAGTAAGAATGTACTATACATAATGATCCGATGCAGAGGCAGATGCAGGTTCCCCGAAAGCAGATCATAGCTTCGGCAGGAGGTGGAATAGGACCTAATAGCACGAAGCAAGGACTTCTAGGAAGGAAGCCAAAAGTACCTGGTACCTGGAAGAGCTGTGTGAGGAGACCACGGATCGACCTTTGTCAGATAGGAGGCAATGAGCGGCCGCAATCTGTCACGAGTCTCCACGGTTCTAACCTGTCTTCGCTGGTTACGAGTGAGGCGATTCTCCTTGATGCATACGACAGAGCCATTGTCTCCATGAGAACCTCGTTTAGCCGGGCTATGGGATCATAGAGTGGCCTTGTCTATAATAGCACAGGTTATTACCGAACGGGCCCGAACGAAGGGGTCAAAACTCGGACAGAGTTGGGATCATCCACAGCCGACGAAGGGCCCATACGCCTGGGTCACTGGGAGATCCCAGCGACCAGGATGTGACGGCTGTCAGACCCAATTCTGGACTGCTTCTTTTCTTGGTGCAGGCTTGGTGTAGTCCGTCGCAATAGGCTGGCGTAGACCTGGGCAGGGGATTTGGAATGTCGTCGGACGTCTCCAACAGACAGACGCTATGAGGAGTTGTTTCGGAAAACTCCACCAGACTATCGCGTGAAGAAGCGTGAGGGAACCCCATTTCCAGGTTTACTTCAGGAGTGCCACTCGTTGGAACCGTGGTACGGTGGACGGGAATGCAATCAGTGAATGGAAGATCCCCCGGGAAAGGACACGACTCTCTCTCTTCACTGGGAGAGAGCAGACCCCGAGGGTGTCAGTGGAGAAAGGAGGGCCGGCGATACAGAGTAATGGGGTACCAAAGCCAAGAGCCATATGAGGAGAACACGACCAAACAGGACAAACCTTATCCCGGGTTCGCTGATAGATGGCAATCAAGGCGGCGGCCGGATCAGATCTGTCATATTCAGGTGCCCCCGGATCTGAGAATGCGGCATGATGAAGGAACAATGGATCTTCTAGCTCCAGCCACGCCCAGGCCGCCCCACGTTGAGAGACTTGAAGGAGGAATGTGGACGATCATTATCTTGGGCGCCAAACGATAACTAACTACCAGCCTCCCATATGGTAATGGCTTGGGGGAAGTTCCGAGGGCGGCGTGGACGCCATGAGAGTTGAATGATCAATTAACTAACATGGTTAGGGCGGACTCCGTTATTCCCGGAGAGGCAAGTCCTTTGCCCTAGTAGCCGAGGCTGACGATGGCGCCTTTGAACGTTATCGCTACACTTAGCCGCCCTTTCTTCAGCAGACGGCGCCGCGCGGCGATAGCGAGGATTGCCGCCGATGGTGTTGTTAGGCCATATCAACGAGTATGTCCGATCGGTTTTGCCCCCTCAAACCACCAATAGTACCATAGTGGAGGCTCCAAAGTACCAAGCTCCATAGTGGTGAGTTGGCAGTACATACATCCATCCACCAAAACAAAGTCATGAAACACTGGACACCAGTTGAAAGAGTAGCCACCCCTGCTCGATCAGAAATCGCTCGCACGCAGTGGCCGCCAGGCACGAACTCACTCGTAAACTCTCGCTGAGTCTATGTCCATAGATGGCATATGTGCTTGCGCTCCTACATGCTTCCCCGGCTCACGGGCCCATGGACTAAAACCTTAGAAAATTGCCCGAAGGACACTCACTTGACAAGTTTCGCTTATTTTCCGAATTATCGGGGTCTGGAAGCATCGATAAGTGCCAATCTATTGGTTTCAACCAGGGAATTCCCAGCAGCGACGGAAGGGCAACAATCCATCAATAGAGAGGGAGAGAGAGAGAGAGGAGCGGCTGAAGTGAACCTTAATGTGTCCATGAGAGATCCATAGCACGATTTACTAAGTACGGGGAACCGGTTCATTGCAATTTGGGTTCGACCATAGTACCGAGTCACCTTGAGTTTGATGACTCGAGGAATCATCATCGGTATCTTGTTCGAATAGGGTGCAAGGCCGTCCTGACTGGCAGGAAATTGGAAAGCCGAGGAGTGATTTAAGTTTGGTCTAGATTTGGAATTGGTTACACAGCGTCGACTGGCGGGTCCAACAGTCGAGAGGCAGCAAAACTGACACGGACTGCCGCTGACACATTGACAGTTGACTGAATCCTTTGCTTTTGGAGATCCCCCTCCCCCTCAAGCCTCCCAAAGGTCATACTGGATAGGAAAGAAAACTCCATCCGCATCACAAAGAATCAACAACATTCATAGCACTTCCGATCGCATGCCGCTTACTTCAGTTGGACTCGGAACGCTTGTAAAGAGGCAAAAAGACCCAGCAAGAGCCTGACGCCTTTGCCAATCATTGTCCCCAGGTGATGCATCACAGAAGCAACGACCCTCCCCGCCTAGACCCCTTCGCGCCCCTCAATGCGTTGTCCAAACCCGGTAGCCAGTCGTCCGGCTCGCAAGCTACCCGGGCTAGTCTACCTGTCGACTTGCTTACAGCAACTTCCCTGTCACTACCGGCTTCCCCCAACGCACTTACAGTGCAACATTACTAGGCCCCGTTCAACCCCAGTCGGGTTACAGTAGTTTATACGCATCTCATTGAACGTACATACATAGTTAACCCATGAGAGGGCTCCGGAGGATACGCTTATGAACACACGTACATTAGCGTGGCCCATCATGGCACGGATCTCAGCAGAGACCGGGATGGCCCTGCGTGCGGCGATGCAAGATCGCCTCATGTATCAGATTCTTGTCTCCGTGATGTGATCCTTTGCCACTCGGTTCTGGCCGGACCAGACTGGCTCACGTACTGGCACGAAGTCCTATCTCTCTGCCTTCCGCATTTGCATAGTGCCCTTATGCAGATTAATATTGAAGGCCGTCCCAGAGTCGACCGCCGCCGCCAGTAAGGCTCACGCAACTCGTGCCATTGTTTCAGGTGCTCCAAGGGGGCGCCCTTCTCCCGGCATTCCATTATTCCATACGGAGTGCTGCGTCCACCTCGTCCTGCGTTGTAAGGCCCCATCATTAGCTATTTCTGCATGAGTCTGGTTCCAGATATAGCCACCACCTTGCCTCAACCACTGCCTTACGGCTCAAGGGACTCGTACACCTGATCAGCCCAGCTACTAGCAACGACGCTCTCACCATTGCCACTAGACCGGGTTCCAGACCCTTCAGCCGTAGCACCGACACACGGAGGATTGCATACTGACGGAGGAGCAAAGGCGAGGATCTCCGGAAGGCAATTCCTCAGGCTATGCTATTCTTGTCCGCCCTAGCCCTAAGACGGCCGACCTGAGGCATCCACACATGCAAGGCATCCCCTATCCGGTTATCTATCATATGGATCCTCATCCTCCATCATCCTCTTGCCTAGCACAACACTAGGTAGGTCCTATTTTCTTTTTTCTGTTTTTCTTTCACTCTTTCCTGGTCTCCCTTCAGTTTAGGAAGACAGACACTTACTCTATTGATCCTCGAGAGCCACCTTAGACCTCGATCCCCTCTCTTTTCAGTCCCCCCTCCCAACGCCGCACGGACATACCTCTTTCCTTTCGGAGATAAACCAACATGAAACAAAGGTACACTACGTACGACGGCATCTCCATAATCGTATTTAGAGTTCATTCCCCTCTTCCATTCATACTACCTCAACCTACAGCCTCCTTGTCGTCGCCTTGACCTTCCCCCGCTCCCAACCCAAAGGGTGAACACGCGCAGTTCGCGAACCATCACCGGACTTTCCGTAGGCACACAGACACTATGTGGCCCTTGCGAACATTATCTCCTCAACAAAAAGTGTAGGGAAAAAAAGTCCTGGTAACATAGCAGCATCGACTCGATAATTTAAAATGTGTACGGAATTCCAATCCGATCGCAGACCCGTCCATCGTGGGTCTATTTACCCACCAGATGGGCTAGGGAAAATCATCCGGCCAGCCAGGTGGCCGGGATCCCAAATCCGGGCCCCAGTGTTGTTTATGGAGCAGTAGATGTATAAAAAGATAGGCAGGTAGTCAGAAGGCAATTGCAGTCAATAAAGTGTTCAATTTAAATAGACGAAGTTTATCTGTCAAGCATGAAGGTCAAAGTGAGGAAATAAAGTGAAACCTGCCGCATATATTTATACCTTGCTTAAACAATAGCCATACACTACCAAGAGAAACAGCAAGTAGCAAAGTAGCAAGAGAGATAGTATAACCTACACATTCACTGACTATCTTCAAGTAGTAGATTCCACCATGAAGATTCAATCCCATCATACTCAGAGTTAAATAGTCCCTCCGTACTTCTGACAGACTTTCACTTTTCTCTCCACTAACTATCCATAACATTAATCTAATTAACTTGACTATTTAACTATCAACTCAAACAACTAATTCCAAACCAACCAAGTAGCTAATTAACTAACCAACTAACTACTAAATATAACTAAACAGAACACAAATTCAACCATCATTCCACCCCCTTCGATGCTCCCCCCTCACCGGAACTGAATTGACACATCAACCTCTCTACTACCTACTTACTTACCCACTCAACCACAACACAATAACCTACGTACTTAATAAACTGCAGTAGTACTTGCTTAAGCTCGGTACATAATCACTCAGAGAGAGGGAGGAGAGGGGTGGTGCAAAGGAAAGTAAACAGAACACCCACATACGTTTGAAGTAGACTACTTACCAGCCAACCAACTCCATCTACAGAGTACTACATTAAGAGATATAGGTCAATACATGCATACTAATGCAACACACAACAACAATAACCCCCGGTCATTCCGGGACTCGACTCCATCCACATCTGCGGCCCGCAACACATGATGGAGACAGCAGCAGCAGCAGTGGAGTACTACGTATTAAGAGAGATTAAGATCGATCCTACCTACGATACAGACCAATCAAGCAAGTAAATCCGCTCTCCCGCAGAGAGAACAGACAGGCAGACAGCCTGAATAGGAGATTAAAGTCGATCTCAAAAGACCTAAGCAAGCAAGTCAGCTCAGCTCAGCTGAACTCACACGCAGACAGACAGACAGTCAGTCAGTCAGACGACAGTTTGCTTTGCCTGGAAATCTCCACTCACACTCACACTCACAGCTCTGGAAATATGTACTCTGTATGTATATATATGTATATGTATATGTATATGTAAGTAGGTAGGTATGGTTGCATCCCACCCACGCACATTCACGAGCACTTTGAATCCCACGATCGATGCCTCAGATCCACGATGACAGATGTAGTAAATCACATCGGTTCTCACTCCTTCTTCCCCCATGATGCTAAGAGAGAGAGAGAGAGATAAAGAAAGAATCGTTGACTCCAACTCTACTCTGATATACTCACTCGCCTATATTGATCCTATATATATACTACTACATTATGATATTTACAAGGGAAGAGAGAATTAAGGGGGAAGAAGAGACAAAATTGGTGTCTGCTCAGTGCTCACAGCCTGAGTCCCACTTCTGAGTGAGGTGTCTTACGGCCAGCAATGCAGTCAGTCTCGCATATGCACCTGGTCGGGAGGTGGGAAGGGGAGGCAAGAGCCGGTCATCTGCGCGGACTTTAACTTTCCGTTCGCCACGGTCATGTAGCAGTAGTAGCAGCAGCAGCAGCTGCTGCTGCTGCTGCTGGTGTTAGTTAGACGGGCGGACGGACACACAGACAGATGAACAGACAGCAGACAGCACGAGACTCCATTCCTGCTGCAAACTAAGGACATAACATAAGTACATCCGACAAAGTTGCCCTCGGACCACATCTCAGACCAGGCCAGACCACACCAAGACATTACTTAAGAAGGCAGAAAGATGTGGAGGCAATCTCAATTTAGAATGAGAAATAGGATACGTCAATTATGGACGGCGAATTAGCGTATAGAGTAAAAACAACATACTGTCATGTAGCAAAACGCACACGTAAACTGCAAAGGAACGTCTATAGAACACAATCCGACAGCTCACAGGGCCGAGAAGAGGCCTGACCGCAGCAAACCCAGCCACCTCGCGCACTTCGCCAGGTGTCCGGTTCGTACAATTTATCACCCTCCTTCGACCCGCTTCACCTGTCACGACTCAAAATAAAATTGATGCTCATGCTCAAAATGAACAGAAAAATAAAAAAGCAATTCATCTCCCGAGGCACAATGCCACGCCGTGCGAATTTTGGCTCAAGCAAACCGATATTCAATTATTATCATAAGAAACAGCACAGTACTGGAATTAAAGGAAACCAATTGCTTATTAGGCAACTTTACACGACCATGATAAGGGTTTCAAAAAAGCGTACACACAAATGTTTGGTATCAATTTGTCCTTTACAGAGCGTACTGGATCAGACCACCGAGGACGGCAGCAAGACCAAGAGCGGGCATGTTGGCCCCGTTCATGACGGAGGCGCTGTCGCTGCTGGTGGAGGAAGAGCTGCTGCTGCTGCTGGTGGAGGAAGAGGTGCCAGAGGATCCATCGCTGGTGGTGGGGTCGGAGGTGCTGGCCTTGCAGGTGTAGGTACCACGGATGACGTTGTTCTCACGCAGGGTCTTGAAGGCGCTGCAGCTGAAGTTACCAGTGCTCTGCATGTTGAAGCCACCCTTAACCTCGGTCAGGGAAGAGAGGGAAACCCTGGACACACGAGTTAGCAAACAGAACGTCTTATCGGAACAAAGCAACTGGAGAAACTTACTCGTCGAAGTCACCGCTGAAGTCAATGGCACCAGTGACCTCCTTCAGGTCGGGGAAGTTGATGGACTTAAGCTTGTCGTTGCGAGCAATCTGGAATCCACCGTTGACGGTCTTGAGGACGGGCATGCTGATGTTGTTCAGCTTGGTGTTGTCGTCGAAGACAAGGTCACCAGTGGTGGTGAGGTTGGCAGCGCTGAAGTTGGTGAAGGTGTTACCCCAGAAACCAAGCTGACCGCTGAGAGTCTCGAGAGAGGGGATGGAGACACCGCTGACGTTACGGAAGGTCATGTTGGTACCGGTACCGAGGTTGGGCAGGATAATCTGCAGGGAGTCCATGTTACCAGCGAAGTTGATCAGACCAGTGGCGTTGGTGAGCTCGTTGACGTTGACGGTCTTCAGGTTGGTGTTCTCGGTGATGTCGAAGGTACCGACGGTCTTAAGGGAGATACCGTCCAAGCTGGTAAGACCAGTGTTGGTGATGGTGACACTGCCGGCCTCGGAAACACCCTTGGTGAAGTCCAGGGACTGCAGCTCGGGGAGAGCAGTCCAGGAGATGGAACCAACGCTGGTGAGGTTGGTCAAGCTGAGGGTGGTGAGGGTAGTGAGACCGTCCAGCTTGAAGGTGTCGCCAATGGAGCTCAGGGAGGAAGAGCTGAAGGAGGTGATGTTGCTGCCGCCGGTGCAGCTCAGTCCACCAGTGATGGAGGTGACACCGTTGAGGGTGAGGTCACCAGAGGCGCTCTCGCTGATCTCAACATCACCCTTGAGGGTGGTGCAGGTCGCGTAGCTGTCAAGGTCACTCTGGCTGGAGATGGTGATGGTGCTGTCGGTGCTACCACAGCCTAAATTGTTATCAGTAAGTGCCGTTCACTACTCACTTCATCCAGATTATCGCGGGTGGTACTCACTGGCAGCCATGGCGACCTGGGCCGCAGCAAGAGCGGGGAGGGCGTATTTGATGAAAGCCATTGCTTAGGATAACTTGAGACTGTATAGTCGAGAAGATGTCAGTTACCAATGTTCACCTCGACTGCTTCTGAGCCACTGCCAAGGTCCTTCACACTGCAATCCAACAGATCCAATCCCAGTCGTGGCAGGCGCAAAGATAGCAGATGAGACAGCAACTTGAATCAGAAAAAGTCGACCTACCAATGACGGCTGATGGTTAAGTATGCAGACTGGGGCGAGGCGAGGCCCTTTGTTGACACGGATAGCAGCGTAAGAGCTGAAGAAGGGGGGCTTGTGAGACAATAAATAAGCGAGCGAGTGAATTAAGAGCTTCAACGAAGGAGAAGCTTTATGGACGAAGACCCTCAGCGAGAGAAAGTGCGCAGGTTAGGCAGGCACGATTTGCACGGGGAAGGGAAGAAGGGGAAAGAAGAAAGGGAAGGACAGAGGAAAGCGAGAGAAACGAGAGAGGAAAGGGAAAGAAGGACTGGATGGCTGGAAAAGAAAATCTTCTTCAGAAGAAAGTGGGAAGACTTTCAGGGAGGACAAACCAAGGCAAGAAAGGAGTCGTGGCCCCGAAAAGGCTGGTGGACCTGAGACCGGGGAGGGGGCGTCTTTCTCTCCTTGCGACGTTACCGGACCTGCGTATGAACGCTGCTCATACCCGTAAATTACACAATTTACCGTGCCTGTCCTGGTTTAATTAATTAACTTCGGGAGGTGGGCGATTGGCCCACGGTAACGGAGAGCGGAAAAAGAAATCGAGGAATCCTGATCTTGGTCCTGGAAACGAATGGTCCATTTGGTTTAGTTTGCTCCATCCTGTAACACCTCGCCAATGGCCAACTTCTTGCTCATGCGTCTGCTGATTCGTTGTGCCATCCCTTTGGCTCCTCTTCCTTCCCCCCTTCTTCCCCCGTCTCTCAGGCTCTCAGCAAATCCTGACCATTCATACCAAGCATAGGCTTCTGGTGCTTGTATTCATTGCTCGAGCCGATGCAGCAGCTTGAATCGGACTAGATACTAACAACCACTCCCGCAGGCAACTTTACTCCGTATTTTTGACTGTATCGAAAAAGTCTGGCCCCGTTTCTTCTGGCTGCGATGGTGAAGTGGGCTTCCCATTCACAACTCAAACGTCATACTACAATAGTCGATCTGACTTGTGAAATCTATGAACAACCCGACATCATCCATTGGTGCCCCCCGCCACCCATTCAAAACATCAGCATCTCATTGCTGAAACCATCAGGAAGTCGTCAACCACAACTGACAGGTGACTCCTCTAATGGAATGCAACTCGATTCATCACGGACATTCGTTGTGGCAGGTAACAATACTGACAAATTTAGCATCCTGCCGCTAGGAGGGGCCAGACCCCAATCGCGCATTGCTAGGGAGGTCCTGACTAATATTAGCATCCTATACCAGGAACAAATTATACATGTATCTCACTGAGCCTGCGATGGCCTGTGTGATCTAGTGAGGTCGACTAATTATCTACAATAGAATCTCCGGAGTATCTATGGAGGATATATTCATATCGCCAACACAGTATTGGCTTATCCCTTCGCTCCACCATCGATTTTGTTCGCCTATTATTTATCCCTTTCCCACTCAACCGCAGCCAAGTCAGCTTGTTTTCCATCGCCCGCAGCATGAGTGACACCACGAAGCTTCTAAGAATGCTAGTATCAAATTCAACAACACCTAGCGAGTCCGGTCGCTGTATAGTGGTCGATCTGAATTTATTGGAATCTGAGGGGGACCCGCTTTTCCTCCCAGTGCGGACTCGACTCCGTCCTCCCTCACAAGTCCTGTCCTTTGCCTGCCTTACGTTGGTATGCAGCGCCCTGTTCGCGCGTTGGAATTTCGGTCGCCTAGATGCCTTTGAGTTGCTTTTGCCTCTGGACACGTATGTGTGTAGAAAACGGCAGACGACTGAGGCGAAAAACAAAAAAGAAAGGTAAATGTTCTAACGGTCCATTCTGTGGCACTGCTATGATCCCCGTTTTCAGTTTGAACTCATTCTTGTTCTTGTTCTTTGACTTCCAAGATGAATGCGCTGGACCTCATGCCTGAAAACTCAATTCTCGTCTTGGCTTCAGGTACCGGTGGATACAGAATCATAACAAAACAATGTCTCGGGAAGCTAATAATAAAGTGGCGAATCGATGGCTCTGAGGGGGAGAGCATCACGTGTGTCTTACAGCTATACGTAACACGGCTGTAACTCCCATACCCACTGTTAGTGGCCCCCACTTGGCCTGGCCACAAAGTACTCCGAGTGCTGGTGCTGTAATTTCCAGTCGTCGTATCTTACATACCATACCGCGATAGAAATTGGCCGGCTGGATAAGATGATTAGACACTCCCGGCGCGGTCAGCCAGAGTCCAAAGCTGCTTGCCCATAGGCGCATTCTTCCCATGCTAATTTCATAGTGGCAATGACTCGAAACATCCATGATATGACATGATCTATAGCTGCCTCGTTGAGACTTTCAAAAGCGAGACAAATTCCAAGTTGAGTCTCAGATCTTGAACGGTTGCAGAAAGGGTCAGTCAGATCTCCATGTATACACCCGGCTATGCGCTGTAAGGGGATTCTCCGTCGTTATGATCCTCTCACCCGTCACAAAAAGGAATAACGGGATGATTGATTACTTCCCTGCGAGGAGAATCCCGCGCGCATTATCAAAACCTGGCAAAGAGCGATCGCCGTGGTCGCTGCCACTATTGCTTGTTCTTTCTCGATCCGTTTAGAGTTCTTCAGCTATCAGACCCATTCCTACTCCACAACTATCCGTCGCAATAATAAGACTGCCCTGGGAGATAATCTCGCTCCTTAAGTGGCGCGAGCCGCCCTTGCAACTGACTTTGATGAGATTTCCTATTTCTTGTTCGCGGTGGTTATATTTGGATGGAGTTGGTCGATTTTGCCTCTCAAATGATAATCATGTCGAACCTCGGCTTGGCCAAGGCAAGCTGCTGCAACCTCTTTCATTGCCGATGTTTCACTTCTGACGCTGCGTAATAAAGCGCATGTACTAATGAAGTAGCCGATAAATCTTACCACCGAGCACGTTCTCCCAAACGCCACTAGACGCGGGTGGCTGGAACCGGCTAGCACTGTTTTGCCTGATAAGGATTGAATATGGTCTCCCAGTCTGACGCATCCAGTATGACAACTTATGATGTAGAGGGGGGTTGGGATCGAATCGTTCGAGGACGGAGTATACTTTGACTTTGACTGACAGATCATTCAGCAGTGGCAATGAGGCCCAAAAGCATCGGAATCATTCTGGCGTTCTACAACTCCCAGGACTGGATGATACACCCTCTTCATAAGATACTTTTGCCGAGCACTGCACATCATAACTCTCCCCTATCCATCATAACAAACCATAAATCATCCATCCCAATTACCCCCTATATCACGGCTAGAACGACCCAATCCGCTCACTAAAAGCTTTAGCATCAAAGCCCGTACAAGGGGACCGACCGGATCAGCTTGTCGGCATGGGACAACTCACCCCGACCATCATCATCATCACCATAGTAACCTAGCCCCAATACCGACCCCCTTTTTCTTAGCCACACCCCGATCCCATGATGTTCAGAACCTCAATGGGCGGGGCAAAAAGCAAACATACGTATGCCTTCTCCTCCATTGCGAAGAGCGAAGCTTTTTCTTTTCTCGGGATAAGACGTTCGGTATAGATAAACCAATGCTTGTTTGTCTACGGGAGTACCCAATACGGGGTTAAATGCCCATTCGGGCAAAATATGATGGATGCAGTGGATGATGGGCATACTTACAGCCCAAGAAAAAAAAAAACCCACTCGCCGACCAGTGGAGGATTGTCGTTGCGCCCCCTTTAGGCATCGCTCAATTGTTGTCAGATAAGTATTTACTTTTACCTGGTGGACTAGACCTTACTTACCAATCACCTACCACGGATGAACATGTCATCCCATGGAACCGGCTTCCTCTAGGGGTGATCTATACCTTGGTACTTTGTAGGTTCACCACGCACTTCACACTGTCTATGGAAGGTCCGTACGGAGTAGTCTAGTTAGTTTTTATCAACCTACGTAGTGGCTGGGCCGCGCTTCCAAACTATTTGACCTTCGTGGATGCACACAAGGTCTTTTTTTTTTTTTTTTTTTTTGCCTTGAGATAAAAGATTTTATAGAGATGACGCGCAAGCTCCCTGCGTTCGGTCGTTTCCGTCCGACTCTAGAGTCCTACTTACCCACCAAGTAGCCTAAAGAATATACACCAGTCATGTTATCGGTTTCGGTGATCTTCCGCATCTTATCATCATCGTGGGCCACCAGACCAACATATTGATCGTATATTCTTCTATGGAATAGTATGTAGTACTATGTAGTAGCGATGCCTGCGACCATCGGGATCAAAAGCCCTTACGAATTACAACACATATCAACCAGTGAAACATGGCCAATCGGACAGTTTCCTTTCAGATAAATGAAATCGCAACGTTTGGTGGAGGGGGGATGGTGGTGGTTCTGATAGAAGCTTTTTTTTTTTCTCTCCGTTGATTGATGCCTACGGCCCTACGCATCACGAGATCCATAGTTAGATTTCAAGTATTTTTCTTCCCCTCTTTCCGGAGGATTCCATACCGGGTAAATATTCCACATTCTTATTATTCTAGAAAAAAGTGTCCGCGAACCGTGGATGGGGTCATGATTACTGCTACTACGTACATAATTGAGTGTGGATGGGAGAGGAGGTCTAGTATGTCGGATGGATAAATGTATATTTTAAGTTAGGGGATGGAACTGCCCGGCACGAGACTTTCATGTTTGCAGTACGGAGTAGCTGCCACCATTTAGAATCCAACAAAATGACATTTCGCCATCATTGATGTTCAGTCTAAAACATTTTGAAATATTTTGATGAACAATAATTTCTTGGGTTCATTTCCTAGACTAATCATACCCAGGACCCATGATACTGCAGGTTTATCATGTTACTCAACATACAGCGTGTCTAACCACGGAATGTCATATGACACAACAACAAGTGATTGAACTCATTGAAGACCTCAAATCGCAGTGATGATGTTTCACACCTCTCAAATGCGGGGGATAAGAGAAAACCGCAATAACAAGCGGTATGGAAAACTGACAGACAGGAAACCAACCAAGGTTGATTGCTAAGACAGCTTGCTGCTCGTGACTTCCCGAGCTTATGTACTCCATCCTCATCATAGTACTACTCCAATGATACGAACCGCCATGACTGATCATACTACCTACTAACAAGAGCAGCAATAAATCCTTACTTCATTCACTCATAAATAAATATATACTATATCAAGATACATTCTGCTGAACAGCGACTGACTCAATGATGACCCTACGACGCTCCGCTCGTCTAACCGCAGCGTCAGTATCCAAGAACAACAGCACCACCAGCAGCAGCAGCACTATCCCACATCTGCAACCCAGAACTCAAACAAAGAGAGCAGCCAGCAGAACCACAAACGGTGTCTCAAAGACACGAAAGCCTGCAGCAGCAGCAAGGGGCAAGAAAGCGCAGCTAAATGCGAATCCCAAGCTGGACCAAGCTTCTCCCCTCACAGATGCACCAACGACATCATCATCGCACTCAAACAACAGCAGACAGTCACCTAATACTACCACTACCACTGCTACCACCACTACTAACAACATCTGGGACCCCATCCCCACCCCCAGCAGCAGAACAACCCCTCCCCCACTCGACCGACCCGTCGAACCGCACCACACCAACGCAACGCTCCTAACCCCCCACGGCTCATCACTAGTCGCCTACCCCCCAGGCACAGATGCGGACGCATCCCCAAGCAAGACAGGCCGGCCCCGTCCCACCGCCACAACAGGCACGCTTCTCGAGAAAGCAGCCGCGCACCTGATCGCCACAGATCCGCGCCTCGAATCGCTCATCCGCGAACATCCCTGCCCATTGTTCACGCCGGAGGGTCTAGCCGAGGAGATTGATCCGTTCCGGAGTCTCGTTAGCAGTATCATTGGACAGCAGGTGTCCGGGGCAGCGGCGAAGTCGATCAGGGATAAGTTTGTGGCGCTATTTAATACCAACACCAATGATAATAAGAAGGATGAAGATGGTGGTACAACTAGAACAAGCTTCTTCCCCACTCCGGAAGACATCATCAAAAAGGATATCACCACGCTCCGGACAGCAGGTCTGTCCCAGCGCAAGGCGGAATACATACATGGATTATCGGAGAAGTTCGCCAACGGGGAACTGAGTGCCCGGATGTTGTTGAATGCTAGTGATGAGGAGCTCGTGGAGAAGTTGACTGCTGTGAGGGGTCTGGGTAAATGGTCTGTGGAGATGTTTGCTTGCTTTGCTCTGAAACGCATAGATGTGTTTTCCACGGGGGATTTGGGTGTACAGTATGTTCCTTTTTGATTACCTGTGGGTGGTGGTGAGTGTGATGGGCAGATGCTGACTTGTTGCAGGAGAGGTTGTGCGGTGTTTGTGGGCAAGGATGTAAACAAGCTGAAGGGAAAGGGTGGCGGTAAGTTCAAGTATATGCCTGAAAAAGATATGTTGGAGCTGGCGGCGAAGTTTGCTCCGTATAGGTATGTGGTATTCTTTGATTTTTTCATCGGGTTGTTGTCTGACATTGGTACTAGGAGCTTGTTCATGTGGTATATGTGGCGGGTGACGGATGTCAATATTGCTGTGTTGGGTGGGTAGATACTACTTGGTATATACAGACAGGATATAGATCTCAAGCATCGGATGGGTATAGTGTGTAGAACTACTATATGTACATTACTCGGGAGAGGTCGAACGTATGTAGGTCTGCTACAGCCAACTAGAGAACGATGACGAGTGAATTTGTACAGTATCAGTACACGTGATTGAGCACCATAAATCAAAAGCTTCAATTAACGACCAGCCAAATGCTCTCTTCCCCCTCTCTTCTTCGCAGCATGCCCGCCGAGCCGAGCCAGGACAGCAAGTAGTTCTCTCTGATACTTAGTGATACCCGCCCGTCTATAAAACCCCAGCGGCATTTTTGTATACCGTAACAAAAGTAATCTAGTTCAGCGAAGCCATCAGAGGCATAATCTACCGTCTGACGACAAGGGCGTCGAGGTCTTCGCGCTCCTGCTTCTCCTTCTCGATCTCGCGGATGATGGGGCTCAGGTACTCGACATCCTGGGGGACGACGACAGTTAGCATCCACCACATGAATATGGTCATAAACGCGATAATTATCATAACAAAAAGACAATATATCAAGTCCAGTCAACATAAGCATGAATATGGAGTAACCAAGGTGGGTTACAAATCCCGCTCACGGGATTGGCCGATGCGTTTTTGCGGAGAAACTGAACGGGCAATTGACGGATTGAATTCGACTCACCTCCTCGGGCTTGGTCTGCTCAGAAGCGGGAAGGAGGGTGTGGGAGATGGAGCACTATTTTTTGCGCATATCATATTAGTTTTTGTGTTCTTCGGTAGTTGGGTTGGGTTTCGTTCGGTATGGGACGGACCTGGAATGCTCTGCGGATGCGGAAGACACGGTCGTAGGCCTCCTTGGGAGGGAGACGCTTAAGGGCCTTCTGGACGACGTCGTTCTCCTCGGGGATCAGGTCATCAGCCCTGGTTTGATTGTTAGTTGATGGTTGCAATGGAGGTATGGGTATGGGTTGGTTCGTGATGCCCGGACCAGCGGGCGACGGCAGCAACATGATATGGATAGCCAAGTGGAGGGTGCTGATATAACATATCCCCCCGCAATTGAAATCTATCCATTGTCTTTGCCATTGATTCGTAGTCGCTGATGTTGGTCCGGGAGAACCGCCCAGGAAGGTAAGGGAGTCGCCTACTTCAAGCCGAGTCTCCTGTAACCAGAGGCATCGGTGTACCACTGGGCAATGGGCATCATCCAGCGCTTGAGGAAGGGGCGCTTGACGATGTAGCTGGCGAGTGAGGGAGCGGACATGGTGAATGATCCCAGCGGGGTTGATCGGGTCCAATTGACGGGGTGGTGTGGAGGGGGAGGATCGCGAAATGTCAGTCAAGCTGAGCAGGAGATGGCCCGACGTTGGAGATTGTGCAAAACGGAGGTTCGGCGGGTGACTTTCCCAAAAACATCCGATGTTGATGCCTGAGGCATGAGGGATCTTTCCGAGAAGTACAGTCAGGACTGTCTTCCACGTGACGGGCTTATGTGTGCCTCAGGCCGAATAAGCGGCGCGCTTGGAGGCGGACAAGATTCACTCATTCCCGAACTCCACTCCACCTGACTGACTGGAATACGACTAAGACAATCCCTCCAGCTCAATTCATCCCGTCCTCATTGCTCCGTCCTGTTCCGTCTGCTTCCTCTTAACACCGGCGCTCCCTTCTGTTCGGACTTCACCCCGACGGTCTTTGATTTAATACTTTGGTTTGTACTCACCGGGCATGCCGCTTATTATCAATCCGTTGAACATTTTTCTTAGTTCGATTCCCTTTCACTCCGATAGGGGAGCTGCGTTGCTCCTACAGACCCCGCCCCGTCTGTGCTTCAGATAGGCCAACCTTATTACGCCCACTCCTCCCGGCAGCATCGGCTCCTCTCTGAGAGAAAAAACCCTTCAATTCACTGTCTCGGGGTAGTTTTTTCTGTTCTACCTTCGCCCCGAACGACGTCACGCTTTCCTCCCCTCTCACCACGATTTGACACACGGGTTATTTTTGGGTTCCGGAGCGAGCACCGATATGCTCGGATCCGGGAACCCTCGGTGACATAGTAGACGGATTGCATACTGCTTTGAGCGCTGGCTGGAAAGATGTTCTCTGAAGGCCATGGCCCGTCGGGGGCTGCCAGCGGCTCTCAAGAGCAGCAGGGTACAACTTCGGACAGCCCGCCATCGTCTACGCTTCATGTATCGGCCGAGTCTCCATCCCAACCTACTTTTCTGGATCGCTTCGAAATGCTTGCTACACGTGTGCCGGATTATTACATCACACCGTTTTGCGGGGCCAGTGCGGGCGTTGCCTCGGGGATCGTTACCTGTCCTCTTGATGTAATCAAGACCAAGTTGCAGGCTCAGGGTGGATTCGCGCGACGACGTGGCGGCAAGTCGGTCGAGGCTAAGACACTGTACCGGGGAATGCTGGGAACTGGACGAGTAATATGGCGGGAAGATGGCATTCGAGGCCTTTATCAAGGATTGGGTCCTATGCTCCTGGGATACCTGCCGACGTGGGCGGTCTATTTAGCGGTCTACGATCGATCTCGGGAGTATTTCTACGAAACAACAGGTGAGGAGTGACAACCAGGGGTTGGTGATGGTGAGGCTGACGTTGGAACAGATAGTTGGTGGCTTTCACGAGGTTACGCCTCGATAACGGCGGGCGCTTGCTCGACACTTGCGACAAATCCGATATGGGTGATTAAGACACGACTTATGTCACAGAGCCTCCGGTCAAGCAGCGAAGGCTACCGGGCTCCGTGGCAATACAAAAATACATGGGATGCGGCCCGCAAAATGTACAGAAGTGAAGGAATCCGTTCGTTCTACTCCGGCCTGACTCCAGCGCTGCTGGGACTGGCGCATGTGGCCATTCAGTTCCCTCTCTACGAATACTTGAAAATGGCATTTACGGGCTATAGTATTGGCGAACATCCTGATACTGGCAGCTCGCACTGGGTGGGCATTACATCCGCGACATTCCTGAGTAAGGTTTGTGCCAGCACTGCGACATACCCGCATGAAGTGCTTCGGACACGACTCCAAACGCAGCAGAGGACATCACCGGCGGCCTCGCCCGAAGAGATCTCGTTCCGCGGCGGGATGGATCACCCCCAGGGTCATAGCAGGCCCCCGGGTGCGGCTTCGTCGGACGGGATGCCCAATCGACCCCGGTACACGGGGATCATTCGCACATGCCAGACCATTCTGAGAGAAGAAGGCTGGCGCGCATTCTACTCTGGGATCGGCACGAACCTGTTCCGGGCAGTCCCGGCTGCGATGACCACCATGCTCACTTATGAGTACTTGAAGAAAACCATTGGACATGTGCAACATGAGGGGGAGTTGAAGCTGCAGAAGCTGGAGGCCACATCAGACAGTGGAATCTAATTACTAGACGGATGGTCTGTGACAAGGTGACGAGCCAAGGGCATCGCACCTGAGCTGGGATTTATTGCACCCTAGCGATTTTATTTTTGTTCCGTGCTAGTCGTACATCGCGAAGATACACTACCATAGAGGACATTCATTTCCTGGGCTGCAGCCCATGATATCCTGCCTGCACGTTGTTTTGATCCTTTCGACACATCCTCGGCACAGCGATACACCCCTGCGGAGTAGGGGTAGATGTATGATGTGCTGTTGACATGTGAAATTCCAAACAAACTAGTCTTGTTCTGAGTTGTTGAAATTCTTGGTGGTTATGGTTGTGAGCGTTCTTGTCATTTTTCCCCCGGATCGATAAACCTCAATTGCGATTGTATATACATACAAATCTTCCCTCTAGAACATATGCTTCGTAGTAAGATAAATAGCATTCAACATTCCGAAAACAACTACGCAGCTAATCTGATGAAAATAATCGGGGGGATACATCCATCATCCATGCACGCAGCTGCATTCCCCCTCTCCGTCCGTTTCCCACATGACATCAGCGGGAAAGTCACGTGACAGTTACACTAAAAACCACCGGCGAAATTCTCTGTGCGGTTTGTTTCCTTCCCACCAACCATGGCTATAATGAAAGCTGAAAGCCATATTAACCGACACTGTTGGTTGATATCATTCTTCTATTGCGCAATAATGTATTTGTGCTTATGATGATGATGATTGATGCATATTCGACTTGCTATTCTTCTCTACGATTGAATCGTTGTTTTGTTTTTTTTTCTTTGTGTTGGTGGTTATATTATCATTTGACTCCATTTATATGATGAATAATTTTTTAATGGTAGATCCTGCTATCCGCCATGGATATGGGACATGATCATTGATACACTGAAAATTCTGATAATGGACTAATTTGATATGATGTTGATTTGTTGTGTTTGTGGTGCTGATATTAGCCACTGCATATCAGATTGTTATGTGTGTTGATTCAATGCAATGAAAATTTGAAAAAATGTCCCAGACATGAAGTAATAAGTAGTAGTAGTAGTAGTAGTAGTAGTAGTAGTAGTATATACAACGCATAATTTGTGTAAGATTTAGAATCACTTCTCCCCCTCTCGACTCTCTTCCAGTGCCTGCTGTACCCATGAAGACTGCGACTCTGCCTTCTTAGTAGGTCGGGGCGTCGTGGTTGCGATGCTTGATGTGGATTGCGCTTCGCGACGAGCGGTGTGGATGGATTTGATGCAGTAGGAGCCAAGCAGAAGGGCCATGGTGAAGGCGGCTATTGGGGCATTGAGGGACTGTTCATAGATAGTATGTTAATTACTAAGGTAAGTCGAATGGTGATCATCCAGAGTATGTGCTGTTCAATAGAAACCGAATATATACTTTCGCAGCAACTGTCATGGGATCAAACCAGCAACTACTACCACTACTAATAATTGCAAAGGAATAAGAAGATGAAAAGAGTGACTCACGCCCGATGATCGGCCTAGTGTCTTTCCGGCCATGGTTTACGGTCTTTCTTTCTTGTAAAAGGGATTAGGGATTTGACTGGTGGCCAGGAAGATACGCTTTTCGACCAAAGTCATCCGGGATAACTTAACCCGTCTAAGTAAACAACTAAGCAAAGGTTCTTACTAACTAGAATGGTTCTAGAGCAACTGCAGGGCGTGAAAGAAGAGACACATGCTCGGGCCGGAATAATCCGGTAGGGAAAGGAAGGAAACATTATCAGATGGAGGGCGAGCAGATAAGCCCATCCTTACGATACCAGCCGCTGCGCTGCTCCGTACCGCTTGGTAATGCCCGCCTGCAGAACTTCCCGTTGGCCGAAACTGCCGGTTCTTCTTCTTGGTTAAGAACCGGCGGACCCAGAACTACAACTCGCGCCTACCCTTTCTGTTGTAGGCCACAGAACTGGCATTCCATCCTTCCCCAACCGCGATTCTTCTGGTAGAACGTGTCATCCCCTATCATTCAATCAGATAGATTTTCCATCCACGGGTATTCCAGACAAGTAACAATACACAGCATACCTCCCTAATCCCACCCACTGGTTCGCTTTAACGTCATACCCTATCTCCGAGGCCGGCTCCGCGGAGGCAACGGGGTTTCTCGAAATCGCCTAGCGCCGGTGAATAAGACGGCCTTAGTCAAGTTTCCCCCCCCAAAGAAACCATAATTAATCAATCGCAACTATCAATCTTTCATCACACCCTACTCTTCCTAACTAACTTAACCACTCAACCCCGATATCACCACTCACCTGTCCTTTTCATCGTCAATTTACTATCTAAATAATACCTTACTTTTCTCTTAATTCACCACACACATCACATACACAATGTTCCGTCGTCTAGTAACAGTTGTTCCTCGCTCCGGCGTCCTTTCGCCTCGCAGCGTCACCCCGGCCGTCTCCGGAATCCAGCAAGCCGTGAGGTCGACTGTTGTTGCTCCTCAGCAGCAGCAGCGCAGAGGATACCATGAGAAAGATATGTCTACCCTTTATCCCTTTTTTTTGCATCGAAGAAAATACTGACCATCCCTGCACTGTTGGACCACTACTCCAACCCAAGTAGGTAGCTTCCTGCATCTATCCCTCGACAAGATGTCATCGCATCAGATATACGACACGCAGCGCATTCAAATCACGCCTATCAGACACACACAAATAAAAAAATGGCAATGAATACTAACGAACATCCTGTAGGAAACGTCGGCTCCATGGCCAAGTCTATGGATGTTGGTACCGGTCTCGTCGGCGCCCCGGCCTGTGGCGATGTCATGAAGCTTCAGATCCGTGTCGACAAGGACAGCAACAAGATCAGCGACGTCAAGTTCAAGACTTTCGGTTGCGGTAGCGCTATTGCCAGCTCGAGTTATCTGACTGAATTGGTTCGCGGAATGACCCTCGACGAGGCCGCTAAGATCCGTAACACCGATATTGCCAAGGAGTTGTGCTTGCCTCCTGTCAAGCGTACGTTCCCCCTTGTTCCTGGAGATGAGAGCGCTGAAAAGAATCTGGGGAAGAGATGATAAGATCTAACATCTAATTTTAGTGCACTGCTCCATGCTTGCCGAAGACGCCATCAAGTCCGCCATTTCGGATTACTACACCAAGAACCCTCGCACCGTGAAGACCGATCTGTCCGGCACGGGCGCCTCTATTCCCGAGGTGCAGGTGGAGGTTGAGAAGACCAGCAGCGCTACTGCTTAAGTTTTCTCTTAGGTGTTTTACGAAAGAGTGAAAAATCTGAAAAATATCAAAAATACGGAGCAAAAATGGATACGGATACGGATACAGATACCATGATTGATTCCCTGGAGAGAAGAGCGAAGCAGAATGATACAATGGAGATGTGACTGTGTATGGTTTGGGCCGAATATGTGATTCCCACGAAATAACCTGTTGTTTGTCAGTCAGTCAGTCAGTCTGGATTGGATGGACTTTTTTTCTTTTTCCCTTATGTTTCGTTTATTAAACGGTGTATAGCATTTCATTATTCTTTTCTTCCTTTTCATGACTCGTTTTACTCAATTGTGTTTCCGGCGAAGCAACTAAAGAAGGGATCGATTATTCGGATATATACAACATCATCATCATCAATCACAGTACGTAGTACAACTACACAATAAAATGTACTCCTCTATGTAATATCTAACTGCAATCATCACAACGTAGTATACACAGTAGAATACACAGTAGTATACACAGTAGATTGACAGAAAACCATCGAAACAAAGAGATAGTATAATAGTAAGATTGGTTGGTTATCTGATTCGCCACCTCCACCACCACAGTCATTCAGCTATGGCCACTGACATCATGCAGCACAGCACAGCACAGCACAGATAAACTTACAGTGGACATGACAAGTAACACAAAGAAGGAAAAGCCCCATCTGATAAGCATAGCCCAGCCACTTTAGTACGTACTACAAAGTAGTTAAGCTCTAACTACTAATAACAGTAGTAGTCTGTGCGTGGACTATCTAACAAGGTACGCATGCATGCAATGATTAGATCTGATAAATTCTGCAGAAGTGACAGATTTATTTATTTATTGTATTAGTGTACTACTAGTGTTGATTTGATTATTTGGGAGTGATGTGCAAGAGGTGTATGTGTGTGTGGCTACCAAGGTACTTACTTCGTTGTATACTAGTTATTTAATTTATCTACGACCCTTAAATGATAGTAGGTAGTACCTGTTTTATGTATCTACTAATGCCTAAGAGGGTGACTTCGATTTATCCATTTAGGGAGTTAGTAGTAGCGATTGTATATATCTAATATATAATGTATGTAGTATATAAGAGATAGCAAGATAATAAAATAATAAATTCTATATATATGTATAAAATACAGACAGAGCACGGCTTTCTTTTCAAGATCCAGATAACTGAAATGGACAACAAACAATGGGGGAAAATAACAAAAGCAAGTCTAGAGTAACAATATCAGGCGGAAAAAGCTGAAGGGGAAAAAAGGTAATGGAAAAGGAAAAGAGAAACGCCAATGCACAACACCGCATGCATATGCCCTCTATATCGATATCGATCAATTACTGCGTAGCAGGAATTCAAAACCCAAGGGAAAGGGGGAAACAAAGAAGAAGAAGAAGAAGAAGAAGAAGAAGAAGAAGAAGAAGAAGAAGAAGAAGAAGGAAAGAATAAGAAGAGAAAGAGAAGAATATACAATCATTCAAACCAACCCGAACCGACTCTTCAGCGAAAGTAACGTCTCATAAACAGACAACTTCAACTCCACGCGCAGATACCCAGTCCAAGCGCAGAGGAAGCGCCAGAAGTTTCCAGGACGGAGGATACCTCCGGTCTCGTTGACAGAGTCCATTTGCTCTTCGAAGACGGTACGGGTGGCGTAGCGGGCGAGAATGAGGAAGGTGCGCATAGGTCCTTGGCGGGTGTGGAGGTTCTCGTCGAGACTGCGGGCTGTATTTTTTGACATCATTGATTAGAGGCAGGTAGATAAGAAGGAAGGAAGGGGAGGAATGGGACTAACTCAAATCGTTGGTCTTGAGGATCAGTAGAATAATCCGAGGTACCTGGCCTAGAAGTTCGACTAATTGCTGCAGCAGACCATCGGCCAACGAGCCGGACATGCTCTCTCGTTCTGCCGAGGTACGAGCGGATACGATATCCTTCTTCTGGAGCACCATGTAGTCGCGACCCGTGATGGCACTGGCGAACAGCGGGAACTGCTCGTCCGTGATTCCGGCGACCTTGCGCGCGTACTCGCGCATGCGCGGCAGGTCGGACTCGATCACGGCCAGCCAGAGCTTGGCGTAATTGCGGCGCAGGTCCTTGTCGATGTCGCGGTAGAGACCGTGGTCGTAGAGGATAATGTCGAAGTTGTGCCGGCGGCGGTTGGGGTTCGGGCGAATGGCGATGTTGCCGCCGTGAGGATCGCAGTGCAGAGGTGCGTTATTACCAAAGATCATCTCGTTGAAAATGTGTGCCAGAGCAGCGGAGACTTCGTCGCGGTCAATGTGGTTCGAGTCGAGAAATTCGAGATCGTCGGGACGTCGGCCGGAGATGAACTCCATGACCAGGATACGCTTCTGGGACCACATCACTGGCTGATGTTAGTATGCACTTGCTGTGCAAAAGGCGGTTGTAATTGATGAGGAGGCATACCTTCAGGGATGACCAACGGGGCATCCGAGTGCTTCTTGAAGTACTCGCTCGCCCGCATGGCATTCTCCGCCTCCATTCGGAAATCCAGCTCCTGGGGCAAAGACAGGTCCATTTCACGAGAGAGCCATTCCAGATCGTATTCAGGGAAGAACCGCTTGAGCATTGAAAAAGTAAAGCGAGTCAAGGCCAGATCCAGGGGCACCCACTCCGCCAATGCGGGATGCTGCACCTTGACCGCAACCTTCTGACCTGTTTCCTTCAGCGTACCAATGTGCACCTGCGCCAAAGAAGCGGCACCAATAGGCTCGGAATCGAAAGACGAGAACAGCTCGTCGATACGACGTCCTGTGTCGGCCACGAACATTTCCTCGATCGATTCAATCGATGACACGGGGCACTTGTCCTGGAGCGGGATAAAGGTTGTAGTCCATTCCGACGGAAGCAGATAGCCCATGCTACTCAAATGCTGTCCCAGTTTGATAAAGATCGATCCATTCTTCTCGAGAACCCGTAGAGTCCGTTCCGCGCAACGTTTGTGACAGGCCCGAATGGCTTCGCTTCGCTCCTCCAGCGTGGAGGTTTCTTGCTTGAGAGTTACCCGGTAGCTGCATGAATCAAGACGTATAAGTATGCCGACAGCATAGCGTCAGGCGTATAGATAGATGGCTTCCCACTTACTCGTTAATGCAAACCGCCAGTGTGCCAACCACTCTGCCAGTTCTCGCAGCGGCACGGTAGAAGTGTTGAACTTGGTCCGAAAACACCACTGCTCCAACCATGAGGGTGCCTCCAATCACAGCATACTTGATGGCCTTGCTGCGCGATTGACCTGATCCCGAACGCTTTCCATCACTTTGTCCCGAATTCGCCGATTCAGACAACGGAGACGTGCGGGTGGCGTAAGTGGCCTGGGGAATCGACTGGGCGATACGACCGAAGAAGCGCTTCGAGCATGATGCAGGAGGTGTAGTAACCGAGTTGGAAACCAACCGACGGGAAATTGAGGACAACGGGGCGAAATTGCCAGGGTGGCAGGCGAGAGAAGGCTTCGCAGCCGATCGTATGACCGCCGCAGGATCAAAATTGGAAGCCCGCAGCGGAATGCGGAGGAGCGCCGCCCTCATCCCGAACTCGAACAATGCCGTCTGGGGAGCGACCACAAGTCGAGAACAGCAGTCAACCGGACGGTGTGGATCATCCGTGCCAGCACGAAGCCCTCGAGGACAATTGTAGGGGGAGGAGGAAAGTCTGCAGGAGGAGGATGAGGAGGGAGGAGGGAGGATGCGGCGGAGAAGTTCACTGGTTGGCCGCCGCGGCGCATTTTCGTCGCACTTCTTGCGTCGGAAGCCGATCAGCCCCGTTTGGCCGCCACTTCGGGATTGCCCTTACAGTGTATGAAGTACTAACTGTAAGTCAGTAGTAATTTCTACACAAAGTTCGAAAAGAAAAACATAAAATCGCACTCGTATGTTATCCATGATTATCTACATGGGTCATTCCCCTCCCTGACAGTTCCGTCTTCCTGTACCCCGAATACCAGCCTGAGAGAGATCCCATCTCCGCCTGAAAGCACAGTGACAAATGAATGTGTATACACAGTCAAAGCAATTCACCAACAAACCCAGTACTCCAATCCTATGCAATGCAAATACAATGTATCCATCTCCTTCCAGAGCCTCCTGTCTACATATGAGCCATTCACCGGACCTCGGCCCAGCATGAGGTCCGCTAGGACGCCCAGTCAGAATCAGCATGCGTGGGTCGTCGGCGTTGAGGAAGGATGGAACGTCGACGGGAGAGTGAACTCGACGGTCGAGTCTCCTCCTCTGCCAGGAGCTCTACTTGTGATAGCCTGTTAGCCACTCCTCGCGACAGTCTGTTCCTCGACGGGCCGGCACTGCTGCTGAGCCCAGCTGACAGAGCGGGGCTAGTGCCATCCCTGCTGCCTGGTCGTAATGCCAGAGCCGAGCTGCTGAGAGAGGGCCGCGGGTGTCGCTGGCTTTCCCGTCCATCGAAATAAGCTTTGGGTTGATTGAACCGATTGATCTGTGGGGTGGCTGGGGCGGACTGGTTTGCAAGGTAGCCTGGGGGCGTGGTAGACGTGCTCTTGCGCCTCATCCCAGGTTTGCGCTTCTCGAGGCTGAACGATTCACTGCGCTCATTGGATTGGATCAGCTTGCCAGCCATGTCTCTGACCAGAATGGCCGGGTCATGCTCCAATTCCCGGATTGCTTCCAAAAGTCCATATTTCGCAAGAAGGCCACCTTGTTCTTCGCTCGAATCGCAGATGCTCGAGATAATACGCAGGAGGTTCAGCCGAACAGCGGCCTTGTTATGATGTAGTTTCTGCCCTAGCCTCGTGAAGAGATCAGGACGCGCAAACGTCGAGGCAATAGGCGGACTGAGTCTCAGAAGCTTTTGCAGTGGCTCGAGAATGTTCTCGAAGGCGTTCGCCTTGGAAATCGTTAAGCACCGGACAATGGAATCCGTAAATGACATCTTGTCGTAGCGATTATCCAAGAGGTGTTCCTCTACCTTGGCCGTTTCTTCCTGGAGCCTGCCAAAGAGTTAGATCGGTTTGTCACTACACATGGCGCCGACACATACCAAGTAAATATAGCATCCAATGCGGTCACCTGCCAGTACGGGTCCGACAGCAGAGAAATGTAGAAAGCCAGACCCTTGTTGCGCCATAGTTCGCGCCGTCCCACCTTTCCTGAATGCGCCATGTCGCAAAGAATCGGCAACGCAAACTCTTTGAGCGGCCGCTCGGTCTTCACAATCTTCTGAAGAAGCGGTACTATGCCATTCAGAGCAGCATCCTCCTGGCGGGACTTGTTCAGACGACACATGTTGTAGATAGTGTTAAGAATCTGGTTGCTGACTTCCCGGAAGTGCGGCCGTTTGATGGTCGACCTCAGCAAGTCCGTAAGCACGTCGATGGCGTTGGAGTTCTGAAGCGAGTCGAGAGTTGTTGAAAGCATGGACAGGTTCTTGATAAACTTCAACATAGTGATCTGGTGTGCGGGCGTCATCCGCTTCAGCTCTTTCAGGACCCCTGAGACAGATTAGCGGAGTGTTTTGAATTGTATACTCGATGCCTTACTGTGCAGAACTGTTCGCTCAGCAACCATTTCCTTGACGTGATTCTCGGCCTGCGAGAAAATGAAAAAGATGTTGGCTATCCGGCCTTCCACGATTTCTGCCAATTCTCCTTCTTCGTCCAAGACTCGGCTCAAGACAAGTGACAAGGGATCCAAGACAGAATTGCGTGATAGAATCCTGCAGAAATCATTTTTCGGCGTCGAACCCTAAACCGAGTCAGCGTCTGAACGAGCAGGTTAGTCTGCAGTCGAACATACCTGTAAATCAAAAACGCTCCAGATACCGTTCACCCCAATGAGAACGAGGTCGCGTTCATCTTCGTAGTCATCTTCCAAGAACTCGACCAACACGTTGAGACCACCAGCACTGACGAACATCTGGAGGGTAAGAGTAGATGTTTGATACATCTGCTGCACAAAGGCCGCTGCTTCTAGTCGAATCTCTCTCGGGTATTTTTTGGAGGCAAACTCATTTATGATTGGAATACCTCCGACGAAACAGAGATTTTCTTGGATTTCATAGTCATTGAAAATGATGGCGTTGACAATCCGCAGCAAGCACAAAATAATGTCGCGCCGACGGCAGATGTCAAGGATTTCCAAGATCGGTAGCATCCCGTGTGCGCTAATGATGATGTTCTTCGTCTCTGGCAGGTCACAGAACACGGTTAGTAGTTGCTCGGAGATCTCCCCAAGCACATCTTCATCTTGAGATGTCTTCAGAGAGCTGACAAGACCCTCGACTTGACCCCGTAGACGTGCGTATTTGTCACGCGCGATGTTGGCTTCCAGATCCACCTCATCGAGTCCTTCTTCAAGCTGGGCGAACGGATCATCCTCATCATCTTGATCGCCAAGCCATGAATTGTTCGATAGCTTTGAGTTCAACATCAGCGTACTCCGATCTGAGCCCTCATCGCTTTCGGGCTTATCCAAGGCAACCTCATCAGCTCCTAGAATGTCAGAAAAGTCTTCGTCTCGCTCATTTTCTGCGAACTTTTGTATTTCTATTGCTGATCGGTGGCGCTTGACAGATATCCGTTTTCTAAGCTGCGGCTGGTGATCTTCATCACGATCCGGTGACGCCTGATACCGGACTACCTCCTTTGAGGGCGAAGGGATCGATATATCGCTGCCCTCTTCGTCGATATCCTGAGATGCATAAGAAGACGCACAGTACTAAGACAGTAGGGGAAATGCTTACCTGGAAAGCACTGAGCTTATCATCCAAGATATCTTCATTTGCAGAGATGAGGTCGGAGTAGTCTTCAACCGAGTTCTCTTTGAAATACGATGTCGGGCGCTGCGGTCTTAATGGTGGCACAGGGGTCTTCAGAACAGGTACATTGTGGTGCATTGCAGTTAATGTGGGTTTTGTCTGCTGTGACATGTTCTCCATCCCGGTCGGTTTGGCCGAGTAAGGCCGAATGGTCCGAAGAGGATCCGATTCACCGGGCTGTTGAGAGAAAGGATCATCGAAGTCATCAAAGCCGTCTTCTGACTTCAACACTGTACCATCTAGGGATGCAAACGCCTTCAGCTTTTCAGAGGAAAGCATTCCGCCAAAATTGTCCTGTGGTCGGAGGTGAGGAAGCTGCAGCGCGCTGGGAGAGATAGCAGTAGCAAAGTCATCGTCCCAATTGTCTTCTTCCGTGGAATCCGGCGAGCGGAACCGATCTGTCACATGCTTGGACACCGGGCTGGGAAGAATATCCTTTGTTGGTGTATATCGAGATGGAGCCATTTCGGGGCGCAGAGCAGCACCTTGAGCGTCGTATCTGTACGGCTTCCGCAGGGTTCCAGTGTCCGGAGAACGGAGGGCTTCGTTCCACTCCTGAACGCTCTTGACTGCTTCCTCATACTCGGTGGATTTCTTGGGAACCACGGAATCGGACCTGCGAGCGTTGACAATCCATGGGTGTTTAAGGAGCTTCCTGGCGGAAACACGAAGATTGGGATCTTTTTGGAAACATTGCATCAAGAAGTCTTTGACAGCCTGGATACTAATGAGATATTGAGCACGGAGAAAGGGACAGGAAACTGACCGGAGAAGCACCCTGAGGAAGGGGAGGGTGGTCATCATTGACAATGCGGAATAGAGCCGGCATAGGTTGGAGATTGTAGTAAGGAGGCTTACCCTCCAGAAGCTCGATCACGGTACAACCAAGACTCCAAATATCTGAAGCTGTCGTCGCACCAGAAAGTTCAATTACCTCCGGAGCCATCCAATACGGCGTCCCAACGACGCTGGACTCGCTAAGCCCAGTGGTCCTGCTGGCCACACCAAAATCTGCAAGCTTGACCAGACCTTCTTTCGTTGTAAGGATATTGGCTCCTTTGATGTCCCGATGAATGACACCTTGCTCGTGCAAATATAAGAGACCATGGAGCACCTGAGACATGTAGAGACCGACCAGGTTTTCTGGGAAACGCCCAAAGTTCTTTGCGATCGAGTGTAAAGAGCCATTCTCACAGTATCTGTCTCGTCAGCTACGCTGATCATGGCTTCAGCAATCAATGCGAAGGTACATACTCTAGAATGATATTTAGAGTTTCCGCAGACTTCACGAACCCCTGATACTTCACAATATTGGGATGCTACAATCACAGGTCAGCTCGGGTGACAAGGGACATGATCGGATGTATCGCATCTCACATCTAGGTTCTTCAAAAGATCGATTTCCAACTGCAACACTCGGCGTTAGCGGACAGCGACCCGACAAGCGGCGACCGGAGAGGGATATTACCATAATCACTCGTAGTTCACTTTTCGGCAGATCCACCAATTTGATCTGCTTCACAGCGACCGTTTCCCCGGTATTCCAATTCAGGGCCCGGTAGACCGACCCAAAGGCGCCTTTACCCAGGCAGTCGCCCAATTGCTACATTAAGTCACCATTAGCCACTCCCATCACGGGAACCAGGGAAAGCCGTCATCCATACATAATCCTTAAGCTCCGCGACATCCTTAGCAGACGATTTGACAACCCGATCATCCTTCGGTTTATCTTGTTTGGCCGGGCTGGAGTTGAGTCTCGACAGTCGCGTTTTGGCTGGAGTGCCGGAGGCCTTGGAAGGTGGCGGCGGCCCCTCACTGGCTTCGCTGGACCGGGAAACCATGGTCGCGCAGCGGGTGGATCGAGGTCCCCTTTTCGCTGTTTGTTTAGAATGACACTCAACAGCTGGATGCACTCGAATTCCGACAACTGTAGGCTTAGACGACGAGGGAAGGTGAAGAAAAGGCAGGCGCCAGAGAACCGATCGGATCGTTCATGTCAGCACGAACTATTTATCCAGACAGAAGAGATCTTGTCAGTAGGTTTTAGACACATTATAAGATGCAGCAGGAAGATGAATTCTGCGCTGAACTCCGCAGAAGTATGGCATGATCTCATGGTGGATTCAGACGAAAGAGAGAAAAAACATACAGGAACGATCTTTGTCCTCGCAGTCAAGAGAGAGCCGCGTCCGGTTCAACGCGTCTCTACACATCGAATTTCCCCTCCAGAAAAGCAAATCCAATCGTCCGCTCGTCAGAAAGACTCACGGAAATCCAACCAGATGCTTGCGAAAGGACCGACGAAAAGTCACGGACTGCTGTGCCTGCCGGAGCAAATGCAGGACAGGCGGGTGTTTTGAACTTTCCTTTTCTCTTGTTCCCCACAGACCACCACCAGCTGGCTTCGGCCATGACGCAGCGCCCGGCCGCTGCTGGATCTCCGATCAGCCTTATCACCGTATCACTTACACCCGCTATGATGCGAGCTGTGCAATTACTCCTCTGCAACTCGTAGCATGCTATTGATGTGTTATTTCTTACTGCAATGTAGTGCTGCACGGTATATATGCAGGTTGCAAGTTTGGTTTGCGCATTGGTGCTTTACAGAATTAGGTCCTCGGAACAGGAAATGCACTTCCGTTAAACTAACTAATGTATGCTTATATACTTACAGATACGCCAAAACGCTGCGGATGGAAAAGGGTATCTCTGTCAGGAAAGACCATTGGTCTTGATGCCATGACTTATAATTGCTTTTGTGCTTCCCGGAGAAGACGTAGAACATCCGACGCCAGGTAGAGGCTGCCAGCAATGACCAATGGGCCGCCACTAGCTTGTTCACAAGCCCAATGGATAGCGCCGGAAATGTCTTCCCCAAAGGTTTGCACTTGTCCAATACCCGCGATTGATCGGACACATGAAGCCACCTCTTCTGGATCATTGGCCTTGACCCAGGGCATGCCATCCACGGGTCCGAACGCAGTGATCGCTACTCGATCGCCCGCCTTGATTATAGAATGAAACAAGGATTCTATATCCTTACCGCGGGAGGCCGCGATAACCCAGGTGACGTTCGTACCTTGCGGACGAAGTTTGTAATCCACATACTCTCCGAGAACCTCCGCCGACTGAGTATTGTGGGCACCATCCAGCAGAACAGGCTCTTCACGATCTGCCAATGGTTTCAGAACAAGCTTTTGTAGGCGCGCCGGCCACTCGACCTTTGACAGTTGTGGAACGAGCACATCGACGTCGATGTCGGGACGGAATCGGGACAGAGCAAGTTTCAAGGCCGAAACCGCACAGGACATGTTCGCTCGCTGGTGAGGTAGGAGATCGAGTGTAGCAAAGAGCCGACCGAGCGATGGGGAGTGATACTCTGGAGTATCGGGGCGTGTGAAGATCGCGTCGATGCCGAGTTCCTTGATGTGGTCTTCGAGGGTTCGGAGCACTTCAGGCGAATTGGTACCGTCTACAACACATGGAACACCCGATTTCATGATTCCAGCCTTTTCCCTTGCGATTTCTTCGATAGTATCGCCGAGGAGGAACTGATGGTCCAGGCCTATCTTTGCGATGACGGAGACCAAGACGTCGGTCAGGATGTTCGTTGCGTCCAGGCGACCGCCCATGCCCACCTCCACCACCCCAATGTCAACGCGCTCATGATTGAAGATCTCGAATGCAGTTGCAGTCAGTAGCTCAAACTCGCTCGCACCGATTCCCAGCGTCTGATCTCGAAGCTTGACTCTAGCTTCGATCTGCCGGAAGAGTGACTCTTGGACGACTTTCTCGCCGATTGTGATGCAGTCCCAACGATCAATCAGATGCGGGGAGGTGAAACGGCCACAGCGAACACCTCCCGTCGACAACAGGTGGGAGAGATAAGCGCTGATGGACCCTTTGCCATTGGTGCCAGCAATATGGATTGCCTTCCAAGTCAGCGGCGTCTGCTGGAGAAGGCGGACTATGCGACTAAGACCGAGCTCAATCATCCCTCCGAGTATGTGATGATTGATAGTTGAAAAGGACCAATCCTCATGATCAGAGGAAGATGAGGGACGAGGTGGTCATGGAGGGGAAAAGTGTGTTATCTATTTGACCTCCAGAAAACTTGCGCCGATCTGAGTTGCCCGCGGGATTCGGGTAAGATAATCATCGGGGAGCTGTCAGGTGCCGACCGATAAGGATCAATGCCTAAGGCATGGGGAGCCGAGGCCGGAAGCGGTCGTTACCGTACGTAATACCCCAGTCGGAGGGACAATAATCCAGGTAATGGTATCAATCTGGCAGAGTAACGCTGAGGGAGTATACTCGAAGTTGATCCATGGAATAAGTCGATCACCGCATTGTGATCAATGCCATTGTCAGTGAAACATTCAGTGGTCACGATTCATCTCAATTGACAACTCATTGATCATTGACTCTTCCCTCCCTTCAGCCTTTAGGCGCTGTACCGGATTGTACGCGGATGATCATTAGGGCGCCACCACCGGTTCTCCCAGCCACCCAGAATCCGCCAATGTTTCCCTCAGGCCAACCCGCGGCGCTACGACCGCAAGCCTCAGGCGCGAAATCTCTTCGCCTCCGCTTTTTACCCTTACGAGGAAAACCAAATCTCGCCGTTTCTCCATCAACACATCGCCCTGGTCGCTGTCCCCGCAATCTGGCCCTCTCCATTTAAGGACTCGCGTCACTTCACGCTACTTCTGGATGCGGCTTCTTTCTTTGATCTCCCTTCCTGTCTGGACCGTCGCTCCCTATCCTTTCTTTTCTCATCCTCTGTAGCCATGGGTATTCCGTGAGTCCACAATTTCTTACCCTACACAACTCTCGCCGCTGTCGGGATTCTACGCGCGACTCCGTCGGCCAAGAGCGCACGGAACGGCTGTCATATCTGACTGACATGATGCAGACTGTTCTGCGAGTCCTCCGCAGATGCCCCGAAGAACAATCCCGTCAAAGACCCGTGTGCCACTGCGCGCTCCGCAATTCGTCGCCAGGCTAGTATTCGTCGTCCCTCGCGCTATGGCGGCTCCGCCTTGCGCAGCGCAACCCTCCGGTCGCCTTTCCCTCGTCCGCTAGTAGATGAGATTGAGCGTGAGGCGAATGGTCTTCAGCGTCATGTGCGCTCTCCGCTTTCGAACTCTAGCAGCGCCGACGACCCGTTCGACCTGGCCCGCGGCCTCCTGGATTCCGATAGACGCGAAGCCGGCCAGCGACTGCTGAGCGATGCGCTCCGTCATGGGCGGCCTGGTCAGCGATTGAGGATACCGCGCAGCTCGGCCCTGCCCGATCTATACAATCGTCCATCACCGGGTGATGACACAACCAACCGGCCTGACCAGACTCATCCCCAGTTCACACCGCGTTTTGCTCCTGCGATTGCATACCATAGGACTGCATCTCCCCAAGCGCGCCCAGAAGCTGCTCGTCTATCCCCATTCCTTCGACCCGATGGACTTGGAAGCGATCTTTCGATCTCGGCGGGCTTTCCTACACTGCGACGTGTCGGTGAACGATCGATCAATGAGGCGAATCGTGCCAACCGCGAGTCGGCTATTGATGGTCTTGGCGACCGACAGAGAAGTCTGAGTCCTGATGACGATCATGCCAACGATGCATGGGAGACTCTCCTTACCACGATCACACCGGATACCAATCTTCCTAGTGCTGATTCGTCCTTCACGTCCGCATCGGCTTCTGGAACGAATGCTTCGACCGTCGGGACCTCCACGAGTTCGGCAACCTCGCTGCAGATGTCGAACCCTATGGAATCAGGCACGGGCACGGGCACTGTCCAGATGGTTCTTGATCCATACCCCGAGTTCTTAAATCCCTGTGACTATTCAAGCTCCAGCGATTCCGACAGCGATTCCGAAACAGGGATCTCATCCAACGCACTGTTCCGCCGTTACCGTCGTGTTCGCCAGATGGAGTCACTGAGACGTGCTCAGCATCTCCAGTCAACCATGAGCAACCACCCTCCTATCCCTACCATCTCCTTTGCATTTTCCGATTCCTCTTCTACTTCTACCGATCCAGACCTGCAGCAGATGCAAGCCATCTTAGATCGACTTGCGCGTCGCGAGGATATCCCCGAAGAATGGTGGGCGGCAGCTGGACTGTCCCGCACCCTTGGCCGCCGGCTCGGCGTGAACGATGACACTAACGACACTGATAGCGTGGATGGACCGCTCAGGTCGAGGTGATCATGTACCTTTCTGTCACTGTGTTAGATACCGAGAATTTAGTTAATAGGTCATCTTGGGGATGCTTGTGGTTTCGATTAGCGGGGGTCTCTTGTTTGGCGTTATGGGTGTCTCAGCCAGGGTCAATCGGCTGAATCAGTTATGAACGGGAATTACCCATTATGAGATGGAATTGATTTAAAGTGCATATCCGGGCACATATTGTACTCATATAACCTGGCTTGTCCAATGTCATTTGGTGTGATTCAATCATGATATAGGAAATAGTAGGAGTCGTATCAGCTTAGCCTGGGATGAGATAACTTCAAGTTGCTGCTAGCCGTGGACATGTGACCTCATGCATTGACCAGTTGTTCCTTGAATGGGAGTGAGAACGGCATTTGAATATCCCACATAAGCATTACCATCTATGCTCCACCAGCTGGAATCTTGAGATATACAAAAATTACCAAATAACATGCCGAGTGTACTTCATTCAGAGCCTACGAAGTATAACCACACGGTGCCTGATAAGTTAGCCGGTCCCCTGTGACGTATCTCACTATCGCTGGCCCGGCCGGAGTCAATGCGATCGCGAGCCCCCACTCTGACGACAAGCCCCGCCGACTTATTTATCCCATCGAGCCCGCCGTCGGAGCTTCTCGCTGTCTCCCAGAACTGCCATCCTCCTGTTTGTCGCCCATCACTCGGTACAGGTACCGAGGAAGTGTCTCTCCGATTTGGTTTCCCCATAGCAAACCTCTTAACTCCCATCCACCATCTTCCGCTCTTCAAAGCGTCCCAATCTTTGCATGCACGGGACCACGGATCTCTGTCCTTGAATCCATATAATACCTTCTTTCCCAGTTCACTTTCTTCGTATCTATTCCCCCCTATAAATAATACACACACCAATAATGGACGACCAAGTGAGCCGACTAGTCGATAAGATCTGGAGTAAGTCATCTATCTTTTCCCCGGACGAAGGAGGGCAACAATGCTCCGCAATCAGCACCCCCATCACCCCCGCAAAAAACTAACCAGGTTTCCCCAGACAAATTCCAATCCACACCCAAAGACACCCGCCTATTAATCGCCATCAGCGGGATACCCGGCTCAGGCAAGACAGAATTGGCTACCATGATGGCCAACCGCATCAATCGGCGCTACCTAACGCAACACCCCGAATCACCACAAGTCGCAACCAACGTGCCCATGGACGGCTACCATCTAACCCGGGCACAACTATCCGAGATGCCCGACCCGGCGTATGCCATCGCGCGCCGCGGCGCAGCATTCACCTTTGACGGGGAGAAGTTTCTGCAGCTGGTCCGGGCGCTGCGGGAGCAGGTGACGCCCGAGACGCAGAGTCTGTATGCACCGAGCTTTGATCATGCAGTAAAGGACCCAGTTGATGACGATATCTTAATCCCGGCGTCGTGTCGGGTGATATTCTTCGAGGGGAATTACTTGAGTTTGAACAAGGAGCCGTGGAATCGCGCGGCGGAGTTGATGGATGAGTTGTGGTTTGTGGAGGTGGATTTCGAGGTTGCGAAGAACCGGTTAATTAGGAGGCATGTTAAGGCTGGAATTGCGAGGGATGAGGCAGAGGCGGAGAAGAGAGTCTTGGAAAATGATTTGGTCAATGGGAAGGAGATTGTTGATTATAGATTGGATTTGCAAGAGCTGGTTGTCAGTCAGTATGATCCTGCGTGGGATGCGTGAGTGGGACATTTGGGTGGATGGAGATTTTAGAGTTATAGACGTTGGTCAAGACTCGCTGTTTACTAGACTTATACTTATGATTACCCAGACTCTTGGATATACGACATGCATGGAGAGATCATTAGCAATTGAAGACTTGCATTGAATGAATATTAGAGAAAGGATTTACTACCTCTTTGAAATCGAGCATCCTTGCACTTGTCAAGCCAAAAAGAATAATATCGATACCGGCCCGCATCCTACCCCATATCCAAATGGCTACATCTGCTCTATACACCTTTCGCCCCTACCAAACTTAGTCAAGAACAATAATCACCCTCTAGTATCCTACCCCAACTTCCGGAAAATAAACTAGCTGGACAAAGTACACTCAATATCAGTCGAGGGTTCTCGAGAAGGAAACGTAACCTGAAACTCCCAACACAGCCCAGTCATACACCCCCTCAGGGAAATTCCAGACTGTGTGAAAAGTAACCCCCTACCACGCTTGCTATATGCCTCCACGATGGGCAGATATACTCACCGATCCGAATCCACCCTGAAGCGCTACAGCCTGCAATAAATTTGAGATTTTAGGGAATATAACAGAAGAAGAACATGCTTTTGCTAAAGAAAATTACACCACTTTATATGCTTGTATGTGGCTGGAAAAGAAGAGACAACTTCCCTGACCAGATCAATTGACCGTTGTATGTGGATATGCAGATATTCTCCCTTATGCATCTAGTTACAAGCAACCATGCAGCACCAGCACACACACATATCACTTTCCCTGAAATTTAGCATTACCTGCTCAATTGCCATATTGAATGTCGAAACCAAGGCTGCAAAGCGGTGTTACAGTTTGTATTGCATTTGCCGCAAGGGCAGATGCAGAGGATCCCTTCCCTAGTCGTTAAATGTCTACTGAAATTAGACTATTGGTGAGACTTGCTGCTTATGATTATTATGGGCTTTTGAGGGTTTAGGGTGAAAGATCCTTCCTAGAAATAGTGCAATCTGTTCGTATGTTATGGTATTGGCCTTGAGGATCATACTTGATCTACCTTCAGACGCTGCAGCTTGTTCGGAAGTAGGCCGGCTCCTTACCTGGGACTCATTATATAGGTGTGGATGTTGTCATTGTGAGTTTGTATCTGCTTTTTAAGTGATAATTATTGGTCACTTGGTATTGCTGATGTTGTGACTATTGCGTTATGGGGTATGGTGGACAATTAGCTATTTACTGTGGAAGATAGTAAAGATGATACATCGACTTAGTAATGAGGGAATTAAGAGGTACGCTAAGAACATGCTCATCAGATACAGTCCGAGTACTTATTAACTCATGAATACAAATAACTATTCCTCATGTCCACTAGAAGGATAGGAGTGAGGCCCGGGCGCTAGCCGAGCTGGTCCCTGGCGGACTCCACCCGAGTCTTCGGGCCATTGGCCAAGACTTCAACTCCCGGCAGCGAAATGAAGGATGGATCGGCAGGGTCGATGCCTCATGGGGCGGAGTGGTCTGGCCTCACTCTCCTTTATATCAGTACGCTGGTCACTCTTATCCTCCCTAGTCACTTCTCCATAGACAATTTTAGCTTCTCAGCAGTCTCTCTTTTATTGTAATTGCATTACATTCAGCCAATGCTTGGATAATCGCTCGTTATTACGTTCTTTTGTTGCCTTCTCGTACCCGGTTCTCATATGCTTGTTGCTTGAGCTCTGAGAGCTCGACAGCATCATGATGTTCGCTCATTTTGCTTTCCTTGTCTCATTTCTGGTCTTTGGAGGCCTCAGCGTAGCTACACAGACCCCGCCATGTTTGGTGTCTGCCATGAGGTATAACTGTGACAGCGAGATCACTGCACTTAGTTTGGTCGCCTGCTAACCTAGTATAGGTCTCAAACGGATTCTGATAACCTCCAAAATATTTGTGCGACGAATGTAGGCAAAGTTTGGGCCAAGATCGTGGAGTTTTGCGGGGATGAGAGACAATTGGCTCTGGAGCAGTTGAAAGATACCTGTACATCTGCAGGCTACACAATTGGTATGTTTTGAACTTAAATGACGCTGTGCCAAAGATGAGAGACATTTGACTCTACTTATGCAGCATACCTACCAACAACCTCGTCCGGCATCGCATCCCATTCCACCGCTCTTTTCAGCTCGACCAAGCCTAGCTCCGTCATACCTAGTTCAACCGGCATCTCCACTTCGAGCTCTGTCCCCGATGCCAGCTCTAGTGCTTGTCCCAGCACTCATCCTAACCAGACCATTTCGTTGGGATCGGCTGACCGTGGCGCGTCTGCTGCTGCGTTTGCGGCCGTTGTTTTTGTCGGATTTGCGGCGACGTTATAGATCCGGTTATTCCGCTTCGTATATTACTCAGAAAGTGCTCTGAACCCTTGGACACCAATGATGTTGAGTACATATTGGGCGCAGACCGCGTCACTTTAACCGCGTCTTCTCCACCGGTGTAGGCATCCGTAGGCAGCTCTCCGAAACCCGCTGGGAGGCGGAAAGCTCATACGTAATATATCCTAGTGGGGCTTAGGTTGCATGGGAATCATGATGGTACGTAGTCGAGGGTCGGCGGAAACCATATCCTGCAAACGGATATACGGTGTCCGAGGCTCGGAGCTGATTTGTAAGAAGCCCGGCAGTTGCTGAGGGACGTGGCGTGAACTGAAAGAAAACTCACACGTGACTGCGCTCGTCGCGCGTTCCCGCCAGCCGGACAAAGATTGGCGGCGCACCAGTCAGCGGGCTCGTATGCAAAGGGCAACCCATTTAGTCCAAACACGAAAATTCGCGTGGATATCCACCGTAACGCGTTTGCCCCGGCGACATCAAATATCTCCTCCCATCTTTCTGCCCCTCCGTCTTCTCTCTCCTCTCATTCCTCATCCTCCCCTCAGCTCCTGTCTTCAGGACATTCTTTTTGTGACGATTTCTCCTCTCAATCCTCTCTTATACATATCCAAGCCTTCTTTTCTCTACTACCCTAATATTATTTCCATATACCCTTTGTTCTAGTTTCTTTTCTCGTTGTCTATAACCTCACTGTCCAAAATGTTTGTCTACAAGAGAGGTCAGTACGAGTTATACATGATTTCCTGCTCTGGGTGGAATGGATGCCCGTTTATTGAGCGGAATGGAACTTGCCACCCTTGCAACCGTCAGTGCTAACTTTGAATACAGACGGACGCAAAGAACGCGTGCAGTTCGACAAGATCACTGCTCGTGTGTCGAGGCTGTGTTACGGACTTGACCCCGAGCATGTCGATGCCGCTGCCATTACCCAGAAGGTCATCTCTGGTGTCTACCAGGGTGTCACCACCGTTGAACTCGATAACCTGGTAGGTTTGCAGCCGCTACAATTGGCAGAGCAAGTGCTGATAATTCGACTTAGGCTGCCGAAACTGCTGCGTACATGACTGTCACACACCCTGATTACGCCATTCTCGCTGCCCGTATCGCCGTTTCCAACCTCCACAAGCAGACCAAGAAGCAGTTCTCGTTGGTCATCTCAGATCTCTACCACTATGTCAACCCCAAAAACAATGCTCCTGCACCAATGATATCAAAGGAGACATACGAAATAATTATGAAACATGCCGATGAACTCAACTCGGCTATTGTATACGACCGTGATTTCAACTACAACTTCTTCGGTTTCAAGACTTTGGAGCGGTCCTACCTGTTGCGGATCAACGGAAAGGTGGCTGAGCGTCCCCAGCACCTGCTGATGCGTGTTGCCGTTGGTATCCACGGCAGCGACATTGAGAAGGCCATCGAGACCTACAACTTGATGTCTCAGAAGTACTTCACTCACGCCTCCCCGACTCTGTTCAACGCTGGTACTCCCCAGCCCCAGCTCGCCTCTTGCTTCCTCGTCGACATGAAGGAGGACAGCATTGACGGTATCTATGACACTCTGAAGACTTGCGCTATGATCTCCAAGACGGCCGGTGGTATCGGTCTGAACGTGCACCGCATCCGTTCTACTGGCTCCTACATTGGTGGTACCAACGGTACCTCCAACGGACTTGTTCCTATGCTTCGTGTCTTCAACAACACTGCCAGATACGTTGACCAGGGTGGCAACAAGCGTCCCGGTGCTTTTGCCATCTACCTTGAGCCCTGGCACTCGGATGTCTTCGAGTTCCTGGATCTCCGTAAGAACCACGGTAAGGAGGAGGTCAGAGCTCGTGATCTGTTCTACGCCCTGTGGACCCCGGATCTGTTCATGAAGCGTGTTGAGGCGAACGGTGACTGGACCCTGTTCTGCCCCAACGAAGCCCCTGGCTTGGCTGATGTCTACGGTGACGAGTTCGACGCTCTCTACGAGAAGTAAGTTTGTCGGTTTGTATATCGTCGACTCGTGCTAACAGTATTGTAGGTACGAGAAGGAAGGCCGTGGCCGTCGTACCATCAAGGCTCAGAAGCTGTGGTACGCTATTCTGGAGGCTCAGACCGAGACTGGTAACCCCTTCATGCTGTACAAGGATGCTTGCAACAAGAAGAGCAACCAGAAGAACCTCGGAACTATCCGTAGCTCCAACCTCTGCACTGAGATCATTGAGTACAGTGCTCCGGATGAGGTTGCTGTCTGTAACCTTGCGTCTCTTGCCCTGCCCACTTTCGTCGACGCTGCTCGCGGCGAGTATGACTTTGGCAAGCTCCACGAGGTTGTCCAGGTCTTGGTCCGTAACCTGAACAAGATCATTGACATCAACTACTACCCCGTCCCGGAGGCCAAGAAGTCCAACTTCCGTCACCGTCCCATTGCTCTGGGTGTCAATGGTCTGGCTGATGCTTTCCTTGCTCTGCGCCTGCCCTTCGACTCGGCCGAGGCCAGACAGCTGAACATCCAGATCTTCGAGACTATCTACCACGCTGGTTTGACCGCCTCGTCCGATCTCGCCAAGGAGTTCGGAACTTACGAGACCTACGAGGGATCTCCTGTCTCCCAGGGTATCCTCCAGTACGACATGTGGGACCGCACTCCCACCGACCTCTGGGACTGGGACTCCCTCAAGGCCAAGATCGCCCAGACTGGTGTCCGCAACAGCTTGCTGGTCGCCCCCATGCCCACTGCCAGTACCAGTCAGATCTTGGGCTTCAACGAGTGCTTCGAGCCTTACACCTCCAACATCTACTCCCGCCGTGTCTTGGCTGGTGAGTTCCAGGTGGTCAACCCCTGGCTGCTGAAGGACCTGGTCGACCTCGGCCTGTGGTCGGACAACATGAAGAACCGCATCATTGCCGAGGGTGGTTCCGTCCAGAACATTCCCAACATCCCCAGTGACATCAAGGCGCTGTACAAGACGGTGTGGGAGATCTCCCAGCGGACGATCCTGCAGATGGCTGCGGACCGTGGTGCGTTCATTGACCAGTCTCAGTCCCTCAACATCCACCTGAAGGAGCCCACCATGGGCAAGATCACCAGCATGCACTTTGCCGGCTGGAAGATGGGTCTGAAGACGGGCATGTACTACCTGCGCACGATGGCCGCCTCTGCGCCCATCCAGTTCACCGTCGACCAGGAGCAGCTCAAGGTCGAGGACACCAACGTGGCCCGCACCAATGCCGCGTACAAGAAGCGGGCTGTCGGCGCTGCCTCCAGCACGTACTCTGCTGTTCCCCGTGGCCAGGCCCCGGTCAACGGACACAGCGAGAACGGTGTCAATGGTGTCAACGGCTCCACCAACGGCAGCCCTCGGGCTCTTGCTGCTGATGCCTCCGCTCAGGAGAACGGCCCTCAGGAGGAGGACAGCCAGCAGGAGAGCGAGGAGCGCGAGAACGACATCTACTCGCAGCAGGTGCTCCAGTGCAGCATTGAGAACAAGGAGGCGTGCATTATGTGCCAGGGTTAGGCACATACCTCGTGTTCTTTCCTTGTCTGATCTGGTCCGGTTTGATTGATTGTCTTGGCGTCAGGGTTGTAATTATATCACGAGATTGATGGATACTTTTTGCTTCTTGCGCATGGTTCATGGGAAATGACTGTATTTACTGTTATGGTTTTCTTCGGTATAGGAATTTATCTGACTATATTATATTATATTCATTCCTTAGTAGCTAGCCTATCAGTCTATACCAACTGTACGGATGATTTAATGATCCCCCGCCTGATTGGGCATATAATCCTTAGCCGTCTGCTTGGTCTTATCCATGCCCTCGTTGGCCTTGTTCTTGGCGTCTTGGGCGTACTGGGAGGCATCGGAGTCTATATACCAGCAGAGGATCTCCGTTAGCATTACTCCGATTTTCCCTTCCAATTCCCCCTAGTCAATAATAACAAGGGAAAGAAATCGACATACTCTGCTGCTGCCCCATCATCTGGTTATAGTAATCCTGGCCCTTGTTCTTGGCATTTTCGAGGTTCTTCTTGATGGAGTCCATTTTGTTTCAACTTCCTATTGTCATTGTTGTCAATAATTGATTCTTTTTCCTTGTTGCAAAAAACGATGGGATATACGTACGAGTTAAAACTTGTGAATATCACTTAAGTCCAGAATAAAATTATTTAATTTTTCCTTGGTGTTAGTAGAACGGTCAATGGATAGTTATGTGCAGGTAGGTATCATTCTTATATGGTGGTCATGAATGCAGATGAATCATAGACTTTCCTCCTATGACGTTGAGCAGAGTCTAGAAGGTTATTGGGAGGGAAAGGTTATTTAGTCTATGTTAGAGATTATCTACGTAGAATAGTATGTTGTGGTGGATGTCAGAAATGAGTTTATTTGCTGGTTGATTCGGAAGTTGTCGGTTCCATGGGTGGGGAGGGAAGGGTAAGGCTGTGGTGGGTGTGGGTGACATCTTCGACTTCTTATTCTTCTTATTCCGTACTTCACCTATCTAATCTGCTTCCGCTATGAATTCAGTGCACAAGATGATTAATCATGGATGGTCATGTTTCCGTAATGGTTTGATGGGTGACTTACTAGTTAGCTGCTTAGTAGTAGTTAGTGAGGTAGCTCAGCTATTAACTAACTCATTACTTATGTAACAATGTAGTTAACGATCTACGATGAATCTGTGACAGATCCAACTCCAGTCAGATCTTAGTCATATCGGGCCGTTTCAGTAACTCAGCAGTTAAAGTAACTATGGATGTTTCTGTTCATTAAGTGTAGCACACCCCTGCAAGCGCCAATCCAACACCCTCAGAAATCAGGTAAATCAATTCATTTTATCTAGTTATAGGGGCTATACCCCTGTTTCCTGTGAACGTACGAAAATTATGAGTAAGTAGGAGCTTGGCGAATTTTTATCTTGACTGACTGACTGACTATTTACTGTTCTATTGAGTGGGTGTATGTGTATAGATGGGTCGGTTGGTTAGTATTCACTACTATTTACTGAGTATACTGTATGTACTTCAAGTAAGTGAGAAGATGTCCTCATTACTACTTCACCTACTTCACTAGTAGCTACTACAAGGAATGGGTTATACTATCCATCCAACTCCGAAATCCAACAACTTAATGAACGGGTACCTGCGCCTGCCAACAATACTATTCTCATCCCCATCCTTTCCATCATCCTTCATAGCTACCATGATATTAGTTTAGCTTACTCGCCAGCATATTTATCCCCACGAGTATCTGCACCTAACCGAGGCCGAATCAGGCTGAGTTGAGTAACATTGGGGGCTAGTGTGTTTGACCAGCGCGGTGGATCTGGGGGCTGCAAGTTGAGCTGAGCTCCTTTCCTACGTAGTAGATGTTGGAACTCTAATGATGACAGGTTGGACTGTATATTGAATGGGACTGAAGGATCAGTAGTAGGTAGTATTCGGTGGTGGTTATGCTATATCTGGTAGTCGTGTCTGGGTTGTGTTGGTTTCAGTGTGTTTGTTATTTCTATAGTCTGTAGTAGATTCCTGTATGTTATTTAGTCTACATGACGATGGTAAGGATTGTGTTGTATGTTGTGGTGTATCAATTAATTTGGGGGTTGTTTTGCTTTTTTGTGATTGTTGGTGGTGGTGGTGTGGTGATGGTATGGATGTGCATGTTTACTTACACAGTATGGGAGGTCGGACATACTTCTGAGTAAGATACCCTGTGAGATACTTCGGGTAGGACGATCGGAATGGTGATTGGAATGGGGAATTTGATAAAAATGATCGGTGGAATGCGGAAATATCCTCCGCTTCATTTTTATCAATGCTGCATTCAATCAATGTTGATCTTTGTTAATGATGTAATGTACAGTGAATATATTCTGTACGCGACTGGATAGAGGGGTAGAATCTAAAGTATCAGCACTACACATCATAAGTCAGTCTAGATAGTAGATACACCGTAGTACTCGGTGGATGATCAAGCCACGCGAGTGACGGATGAAACGGACGATGGAGCCCTGCGATAGAGTCCGGTTGGCTGGCTTGGCGTCTCGCCTGATATTCAGATTTCAGATCCGTCAGATGGATCTGACTGTTAATTGTGCGAAAGCACCATTGAGTGTTTCACATCTACCAGTGGCGTTCGTCCCGAGGATTGGACTGCCTAGACCACACTATTAGATTTAGCGGCGCGAAAAGAAAGACCAAAACAACCGAATAAGACAGTCGTTTTGCGAATGGACGCGGCTGGACTGTCCTGCAGTAGCCCACCGGTAGGGCAAAAAAGTCAGATCAGGGCAACATCCCTGCCACTAAGGATGGTTCCCCTCTTTTCCTCGCACCACACGAAATATGGACTGTGTACAAAGCGAAGGGGAGATGCTGCTGACGAGATGTGACTGGTCGGTGCCTGGATGTGCGACACGTCAACTTGGTCTTCAATAGGCCGTGTTCCCTTTGATGGGCTCCAAGACCCGCCGAGTTCGCCACATCAACATTCGGCCCGGTGAAACCTGAACCTGGACCTGAACAGATGACGGCACCTGATTGTTGTAGTTTCAGTCCCGTCCAGCCTATTCTAGTTCGACTTTTTGTGTGTATTCGGCAAAGACCATTTAGTATTCTCGTGTCGAGTGGCTTAGTGGTCAGGCACCGCCCATTTCCCTCCTTTTGGGCGGAACGACCCAAGGATTGCCACGCTGATCCCCCTGAAGGAAGCGGAAAAGAGAGCCCTGCAGGCAACATGACCGCACGCTTCCAGCTGAAAGGCGGTTTCTCCCAATTTCCCCAACCAAAAGTCAGTGCAGGCAAGGAACGGTAGAGCGTGGCTGAACTAACGCACCAGCAGACTACTCAAAAGTCAATCCGAAGAACAACTGCCCACTCTGGCCCCAGTTCAGCCAGTGAGAGGTGTCTGTGCCATCCAGGCACGGCTTGGTGAGACACTGGCGTCAATGCGAACCGCCAATCAGCCAAACTACTGGGCCTGACCCCGAGGATTCCGATCAGACCCTGCCAGATTGGTTGTGTGCCTGGAAGTAGAGTATTTTTTTGACTTTATTTTTCGTGTTCTTTATTTGCTTCTTTCAAGGTAACAGCTGTAAGATGAGATGGCTGCGTCAGGTACGAGGGAGAGCTCCCCAATCAGACCGAGGAGGATGCTGCGCTGGTTCCGGGCCGCGCCCGACCACTGCCAACCATGGAGGACGAGATTGCCCTGGGAAGACCGGTGAGGGTCGGGCAGTGAAGGGCTTAACGGGCATTGGCGGAGATCGAGGGTTCACGAGCTGTTGGCGGTGGGGGGGAGGAAAGAAAGAGTGTGGGTCTGGGGGGTCAAAAAAGTAATTGGACTAAGTGGAGTCTAGGCTTCATTCATGAGAGAGCGAGATTGAGAAACAGAGAGTGAGGGTAAGGAAGATGGATTCTTTGGTGTTGTTACTTGTTGGTGTGGTGGATCCCGACGGTGATTCACCCCCCCAAATACCAATTGGTACCATACACACCATACATCCATCCATACATACATACCACTGGCTCCAATTCCAATACAAATACTCTCCCTCTCCCTCCTTCGTTTCTCGCCTGCTTCTTTCCCTCTCCTCTTCCACCTCACAGTCCGTCCTCTCTTTGACGCTCGGTAATTCCTTCTTTCCACCCTCATTCCTTGGGTTTTTTGCTCTATACTGCTGTGCAGTACGCATTCCTTAGACTCCTCTGTCGACCAGAGCATCAATCCTTCCAAAAGAAAACAGTGACCCTACATTGTCAACCAAAAGCAAATCACTCCACCAAACAACCACCACAATCCTATATCAAACAACTCACATCCATTACAATGGCCCCTCTTTCCAAGTCTCTCGCCCTGGCCGGCACTCTCTTTGCCGCCTTTGGCTCTGCTGCTCCTGTTGAGAAGCGCTCAACCGAAGTTGTTTACCAGACCGTCACCTCCGTCGTCTGGACCACTGTCGACGTGACCACCACCATCTACGGCGCTGCCCCTACCGAATCCGCTGCCGCTAGCCCTACCCCCGACTCTCAATACCAGGTGCCCGGCAACAGCCAGCCTGAGCAATCCGTCAACTACCAGCCCTCTTCCTTCACTACCTCCACCTCCACCGCTTGGGGCGCTGCTTGGACCCCCGAGCCCGCATCCTCCACCACTTCGACTTCCACCAGTGAGTGGGAACCCGCCTGGACTCCTGCCCCCACCAGCTCCAGCTCCACCAGTGAATGGGAGCCTGCCTGGACTCCTTCCACTACCAGCCAAGAGCCCGCCTGGACCCCCTCCACCACCACCGTTCCCGCTGCGGCCACTACCTCGGCCTCAAGCTCCAGCGGCAGCAGTGGTAGCAGCGGCAGCAGCAGTGGATACTCCGGTAGCTGCTCCTCCGGGTCTCCTTGCACGGGTGATCTGACCTACTACGTGGCTGGACTGGGATCTTGCGGCATCACCAGCAACGGCAACACCGACATGGTGGTTGCGCTTCCCCATGGCATCATGCAAGACAGCGACTGCGGCAAGACCGTGAAGATCACCTACAACGGTGTGACCGACTACGGCACCGTCTGGGACAAGTGCATGGGCTGTGACAATGTGTCGATCGACCTGTCGGAGAAGCTGTTCAAGAAGTTCGGTACCGAGTCCGAGGGACGCTTGACGGGCGCGGAGTGGTCCATTGAGTAGATGGCCGGGATGGAACGAAATTATTTTACCCTTCTTGTCACTCGTTGATTGACTGATTTAGATATGATGATTTTGATTTCTTGTTTATACCTTAGCACAAACACATTCTTTAGATTGTCCTGGGGACGAATCTATCTGCAGTATGACTGACGTGTATGTATCACGATTAGAATGATTAAGAGAAAGAAGAAGAGGAATAAGACTGTTGAACCTGTCTTAGCCAACTTGCCAGAGCGCTTCGTTCCACTCCCATATCCGTAGGACCATCGTCATCGTCCATCCCTCTTTTAGACTGACAATCCAGTCCCCTCAAGCGACAAATTTCCTTCTCCCGACACCCCCTCCCACAAACTAAGACATTGTACCCCCTAGTCCGTCTCGCCCAATACTGGTTAAACACATTCCAATCCGTCTCCATAACATCCGTCAGCTTCGCCCAGAAGTGCGGTCCAATGTCAGCTCCGCCACCAGCACCAATGCCATTCGGCACTGTACCAGCCCCATTAGGATAGACATACTTCCCGTAAGCTTCCATAGCAGAGTAATACCTGACCCATACTGGCTCACCTTTTCCCCTATTAGTGGTGGTGCTCTTACTATCCTCATCACTATCCCCCTGAAGACCATGTATAAACGGAGGAAATCTCGCAACATACTCCTCAAAATCCAATACCTTCCACCCACCCCCACCACCACTAAACTGCACATCAAACATCCTAAAAGCAGAATACCCCGACGTAGGCGTCATCGCCGGCGCCATCATCTCCACGCCTATCACATCTTCCCTTTCCCCTTTCTCCACTGTCACCTCGTTGTTGTTGTTCTCCACAGTGATCTTCCCTTGCCGGTGCCGGTGCCCCTGATTCTCATGACTATCACTATCAATACCAGCACTCCCATTACTACTACTGCTACTACCAGAAGAATGAAAAGAACGATAAAACACCCCAAACGTATCAACATGTCCATGACCACAAAACACACCCACGACCGTATCCTTGTACCTATAGAGTATTTCCCGTAGGAAATTCGCATACGCAGGTAAAGTATCTTTACTCGAGATAGGGATATGCGTTATCAGGAGGACTTTATGTCCTTCTTGTTCCGCGGTGTGGAGTTCGGCGATCAGCCACGTGAATTGCGCCAGTGGGTCAATTGGCATAGGGGTCGTGTAGAGGAGGAGGTTGAGATGGTAGTAGAGGTTGCTGTTGTAGGAGATTATTTTTATTTTGATTTTTGGGTTTGTTTCTTCCTCTTGTGTGGGTGATGTGGGAGGGAGGGTATGGGTATGTGTTGTTGCGTATGCGCCGGAGGTAGTAGTTCTTAATGTAGGGTTGTTTTGGAGTGTTCTCCAGTGGGTGGTTAGTGCGGTGTAGGTCCATTCTACATCTACTAGTTCTTTGGGGATGTTTGGACTCCCTGGGAAGATGTTTACGGGGTGGGTGTCGTGGTTTCCGATGGCGGCGTAGATTGGGTGGTGGTTGTTGTTGTTGTTGTTGTTTAGTAGGGTGTGGAGGGCGGAGTTGGTCGCGTTGAAGCTTGCTAGTACTGATTCCTGGCTTGTGTTCCAGATGTCGTGGGCGACAATGTCGCCGGTGAACAGGGTTAGGTGTGGTTGTTGTGGTTGTAGTGTGAAGAGCATGTTGTGTAGTAGTTTCAATGGGGGATCGCAATGTGGACTTCCCCAGGTTGAGCATGGGGTTTTGGACCGGCCTGGGGCATCGTTGGCGTGGTATTGGCGGCAGCAGATGGGCTTGCGGCAATGGGTGCTCGTGCCGGGCGTGTATTGGAGGTCGACGTGGGTGTCGCTGATGTGGGCGATTCGGAGGGTTATATTGTTATTTTTGTTATTATCTTTGGTGGTGGTGGTGGTGATAGGGGAATATAGTGGTGGAGGAGGAGGAGGAGGAGGGAAGGTCAGGTTGATAGGAGGAATCGGCGGATACGGACACAAATCCAACACGCTGGCACAAAAGGTTTGCGCGGTGTCTGATGGAATGGACAGTTGACGAAGCACATAGTATGCGCTGGGGACTTGGGAGGCTATGAGTCCGGTGCAGAAGTCGGCGTCGAGGATCTGGGAGGATAAGATTAGTGAAATGTCCGAGGTGGAGACGGGTAGTATAGTATTTATTATTTACCTTGCTTAGTATGCATACTTCGGTGAGGATGGTCTGGAGGGTCGATGGACCGAGTTGAGATGCTTGTTGAAGTGATTTGAGCAGCGTCTATGGGCGCAGATCAGCGTGGTCCATGACAATCTGGATGAACAGTCAGTCAGTCACCTCGCAGGCAGTGCAGCTGGTCGCAGCTTGAATGTCGTGCCAGATGATCTGGGTCCAGGTTGGCGCGGTGGTGGCTGTCGCTAGGACGGCCAACAGAAAGGCGGGTCTCATGAGAAGATACTGCATTGAGGGACTGACTGACTGCTGCTGCTGTTGCTGCTGGTCGGGGTTTTATGGCATGGTGATGGCCGGGCGTCGAATTGGGACATTTTGAAGGGCTCCATGTGATGGCTGGGCGGGAGTCAGCAGAGCAGAAAGTACTCAGAATTGAGTTGGTGGATGATACTCAAAGTTATTTAAGGTACTTGGCAGATGCAGATGCAGATGCAGCCATATCAGTAGCAAGCAATATTGGGCAGTTAGGGTTGGGACGGTCGGGGATAATGAATAGTTGAAGAAATAGTGGGAGAGAAGAAGTAAGTTAAACGGATAGTTATTATCCCATGCATCTCCCGTCCCCTGCAGTATATCCAATCAATTGGTGGTATACTGTTGGTACCCCTTTCATATTCTTTTGCTCACTATCTAATTATTAACGGGCATTTCTGCATACTCCATGCAAGATAGACGACCACCATGCAATTTAGCCTGCATTTCAGGCCGGCTGGCTGAAGGAACTGGAATGTCCAGCACATCTCCAAGACCATCCAAGAATGGCTGCGAACAGCTTCAATCTTGGCGCAACACGCGAGGAGCCGCCGATCGTCGGCTTTGCTATTTGGATCATCCCAATAAACCGTATTCCTGGATCCTTTGGACAACATAAAAACATAATATCGTCACCAACTAATATAATGCTATTATCTAATCCGGGGGACCCACGCACACAAAGAAAAAAACACTGGGACTTTGTTAGTATTACTACTAGTATTAAGTATTTTTTAGTTTTATTTTAACCTTCCAGGCTTGACTTGACTTTCTCTTCTTTCTCTGTCTCCGCTTCCCCTCAATTTCTGCATCCACTTTTCCCTTTCTTCACCTCATCTCTTTCCCACCATTTTACTCACACAATCTCCCCTCTCCACTATAACCTCTCCCTCTTTGATCTTCCTATATATCATCTTCCAAGATCATGCTTTGATCCGATCATGGCCCGACCTCCCTGTCCCCCCTCGTCTTCCCGCTTCGCCCTTGTCGCCCCAACTTCGTCATGCAAGACCAACGGCCCGAGGTTCTCACCGTCTCCATCGTCTTCTTCGTCATCGCAACTGTCTTCGTGGCCCTGCGCTTTATCTCCCGTATTTTTATAGTCCAGAAGGTCGCCCTTCATGACTATCTGATGCTCTTGGCCTGGGTACGTCTTTTATTTTCCCCCCGTCCTCAACTCTCGTCTTGAGTCAGCTCCTCATCTCCGATCTTCCCGCAGGTCCTCGACTTCGGCTTCTCCTTCTCCCTCTTCTATGCCACCCACAAAGGTCTGGGTCTGCACGATACCGATATTCGCGAGGACCAGCGCGCCGGCCTCAATCGCGCCGACTATGCCTTCACCGTCCTCTACGTGAGTCGCCCGGGACTCCTTCCTCCGCCATCGCTCCCCTCTGACTGCCCCAGAACCCGGCCCTCATGGCCGTCAAAACTTCCATCCTGGTCTTCTACCTAACCCTCACCCAAGGCGAGAAGGTCTTTCGCTTGGCCAACTACGTGACCCTTTTCGTCGTCAATGCCGCCGGTCTCGCCCTGACCCTCGTCAATGTCTTCCAATGTCGTCCCGTCAGCGCCGCCGTTTCCTATCCCTTGCCCGAAGGTGCCAAATGCATCGACATCCTGACTCTATACTTGTCCTCGTCGCCGGTCAACATCGTTACCGATCTGGCCATTCTCTTCCTGCCCAATCCCATTCTTACGCAAATGCGACTGCCGCGCAAACAAAAGATCATCCTCGTCATCACCTTCAGTTTTGGATTCTTTGTCGCCGTCGTCGACGTCATCCGCATTGCCTACATTCAAGATGCGGCCACCTCACGTCAGATCGCGTTGAGACAAGTCCATCTGCAGGATACTCCGGGTGATGACCTCAGCTGTACGTCCCCTGTCCTTTCTTTCTCCCTATTTCCTGCTGATCGCCCCAGGGTACGGGGCGTTTTCATTTATGTGGTCCGTCATCGAAGTCAACGTTTCCGTCATCTGTGCCTGTGTGCCCAGTCTCAAGCCGCTCGTCGCGCGACTCATCCCGAAGCTGATCCGTGACACTGACGGGAGCTCCCAGGCCACAGACCTTCCCCTGCCCGCCCCTGATCCTCCACCGGAGCTCCCGACCATCACCGGGCCTCCTACCGCGCGGCGCGCGTCGCGCTCACAGCAGTCCGCCATCCAGGACAATAAGCCGTCGCATTCGGAGAGCCATAGCAGTCAGGCCGCTTCGGCCCGGGTGGATCTGGCCGATATGTTGACCACCGCGCCCGAGGCGCCTCCGGATGTCGAGAACCGAACGAACACCGTCACCACCACCACGTCGTATCCCCCCAGCATCACCTTTTTCGATTTTGTCAATATGAAGAAGCCGGCCAACATGTTGAAGCTGAGCAACAAGGAGTCCATCGCGCCGATCGCGCTGACGACCATATTGTTCTTCCTCTGGGGATTTGCCTATGGCTTGCTGGCTATCCTGAATGAGCAGATCCAAGATATCCTGCGTCTGGACGTCTGGCAGTCGTTTGGTCTCCATGCGGTCTACTTTGGGGGGTATCTCGTGGCGCCGACGTTTGTGGGGGGCGTTGTGCTGAAGCGCTGGGGGTTCAAGTGCACCTTCATCACCGGGCTGTGCATCTACGCCTGCGGCACTCTGGTCTTCTGGCCGTCAGCC